TGCATTTACTCAGTCTTTCAGTCATTTTCTTGGCAATCTGACTGTTGGATGGAGATTTTGAGTCAAAATGATATGTTGTGTTTTTATATACGTCACAGATCAACAGAGACCAATGACAAGCATTCTCCTTTTCCTCATTAGTTTTATTATTTATTATTAAGAAAATAAATTCACTTTTTGACAATTTCATTTCATCTTTGATTGTTTTAAGGACAAAACTTTCGCTTCCCACACGCAGCAAATGTACTACAGCTGGAGGAATAAATACACAATTTAGGGGTAGCTGCAAACAATTTGATGCCCAAAGGTCTATCTCGAAGTCTCTAAGTTCATACCACAATTTTGTGGAACTATAACTACAGGTTCTGGTTCTACTTTTTCTTAAATTATCTGATTCTGTTATATAATAATTGTCATGAGTTGCCTTGATATGAGACTTAAGTCTATAAAAATGTTTTTTACAAAACGGACACTCTTCTTTTGATACATCATTGCTATTTTCAGGCCCAGGGTTTTCTTCTATGTCTCCACATAAAAGAATCAAATTAACCAAAAAGAAGTAAGATACATAAAGCTTTAGGTTAAGTGATCGCCAAATAACTTTCCATTTAGATTTATTTTTTCTGTTCTTTGTTCTATCTAACATTTTGTTTTTTAATGAAAAATCATTTGAAATTTGGAAGTATATACATCTCATGTTAATTTCAGGATGAATATTTTTAAGAGAAATATGTATGGTTTCTTGTCTACAGATTGAAACCAATATTTTTACCAGTACTATAATCAGTATTGTTCTTATGAGAGAACCAAAAGAAATTTTTGAATGCATTATTTTCATGTTGCCTAGTAACCAAAAGATTACAGATATTTTAATTTTGATTTCCTAACCCCAAATTAAACACAAACTTCAACTTAAAACTATGAACTTGGTTTGAATTCACTTAAAAAGATTTATACATCCGGACATCACAAACTCACTAATTTAACTGAAATTACATTCAAAATCACCAAAACACTCTGAAAATATCTCAAATTCATTAAAAATGTAGGAACAAAATCTCAAAACAACTTTTAAGTTAGCCACATCAGCTGTTATATTAGTAAGTTGTTAATTTACTAGTCTTTTTCTAAGTTCACGTCGCACTCGCAATTAGTTCGCATGTTTTATGTAGGAAAACAGGTATTCCCTAAGTCATAGCATTTGTAGGTTAAGTATAATAATAACAAACATGCTTATCGTAGGTTTGTAGGCATACTTGTTCAAGAATATGCCGTGGTAGGTTTTGTTTATAAATTTTATGTTTTAATTTTTGTCTAATGACGATATTGATTTGTATTAGTGCGAAAATGTTAATTTATTTGTCAAGGGCATGAGCGGACCTCTAGTCTATGTATGTTACATGAAGCACAACATGAAAAAGAATAAATTAAAGGAAGGTAAAAAACGGATCAGTTGCTGAAGGTCTAAATCTTGGAAGGTCTAATCAGACCTTCGACACACATTTTGCAGTTTGTACTTGATGCTGAGGATCCCAAGAATCCTGTACAAAATAAAAAAATGTTTCATTCAAACTACAATTTTATTACTTTTCCGAGAACCAGCCTTTATCAGGACTTCCGCTCCCACGCGAGTTGGCAACGTCAACTGTGCTATATGAAAACAATAAATCTTGAGTAAATATACGGTAATGTTGAATTTTGAGGTTGTGGTGTTCCTTCGTAAACACATTCAATTATAATCTAGGAATATGTAAATTTATTGTTATACGTTAACTTTATTGATATTTGATTCGCTACAGTACTATTAAACCTATAACATTTTCAATTCATGTGCGTTGTATTTTAGAGTTGGGGAAACAAAAGAACCCTGTGTGCAACTTATTTATATGATACTACCTGTGTGCCCGTTCTACGCACGGGGATCTTAAAGTAGTCAGTTGAAACCTTCTGATATTAAGAAAAGCAGTTGGTTTGCATATTTTGAGATATGCTGGCATGGCAAAACTATTATATATAAACCTTCGCAAATACAGTATCTGACAGTTTCAAGCCAAAACAAATCTATGAGGCATAGCCCTAAGGCCTAAAGTTGAAAGTTACCTCCCACGATGGTTAAAGGCATTTAAAGTACTACCTCAACCTTACCATTTAACACTTTATTTGGGTTGACATTTTCATTATCAAGGTGCTCTTGTCCTTTTCGTGACACTGAGAAATAAGGACATACATGCGTTACCAACAGACATACACACAAAAATACAGAACTTAATTAGGGAATTTACTACGTTTTAACATAACAAAGTACATATAAAATTAGAATTTGAAATCTTTGTCAATGCCATCAAATTTTATCATAACAATTTATATTTGCTTGGACCGAAGATGACCCGAAATGCTGTCGAAATGACGGCTTACTTTATAAAATGGAGTACTATAGACAATTTAGATTGGTAATGGTAATTTAACCTATAATAAAAATTACCAAAATAGGCCACGAACTATTGATACATAAACAACGTAGGCCTAAATCGTAAACAATTCATGATGGTTTGCTAAACAAATGTTTTACTTAAATGAGTTATCATTTTCTTAGCATAAACTAACATTTTGGAATCCAGAAAGAAAAAGCAAAACTTATACAGTTAAGACATCAATTAAATTGAATAAGGCTGTAATACCACTGTATAAATAAGGTGCAACACCAACGATAACTAATTTGTAAATTACAGTGATGTGTTGGTACGTAAAAATGATTCTTGCTGCTACCAACGGTTCTAAGGAAAAAAACCAGTACCAAAAACCAACGTTTACAGTTAAGAATTACGTCCGACAAATTAAATGCGTTAATCAAGTCCCAAGGTTATTGATTTCTTGGTTTTGGATTTTCTCGTGAAAGGTTATCGGCAATCAAAATTATTTCCCATTATTTGCTTTATTCGTAAACAACTTTTAATGTAAACTTATTCAGTTTGAAAAAAAACAACCTTATAAAAACAACTCTTTGTTATTTAATAGATTACGCAGGCCTATTCTCTAAACAATGATTGGTATATCTTTTAACATTAGAATGAAATGTGACAAAAATCACGCAATGCTGGGTTTTTGGACGTTTGTAATTTTATTTCTTAAGTAGGGAGGCCGTGTATTCTAGGGAAAAGTACCGGTAACAAGGATCGTCGTCGAAAAGGTTGTTATGAATAATTGGGTAGGCGTAAGTACCCAAGAGATGGGCTATGGGCCTATTGGCTGTATGGTCCAGCGATTGCATCATACGGTGAGTAGGAACAGAAAGTGACACATTGGAAAAGCGAGTTTAGCATCATCCATAAACCGTAAACCTCTGTTACAATCACCCACTGCAGTTGTGATGTTTTACTTTACACTTTACACTTTACACAACCTCCATTGAAGCGCCGTCAATTAGTTAGTAAGGTATTGGCGACGATCATTAATAAATTCAACTTTCCCAGCCCTATACAACACTGATTCAAGGTTATCAAAACTCAAGAACAATTTTATACACAAAGAATCTCTGGTTCCTAACCTGGATGATGTTATTAAATTTCATTTACGGTTACACTATATTATTCCACTTGCGATTAATTAAATCCGTTATGTAAGACAACGATTTTAATCTCACTTGGATAAATGGGCTTTGCCTTCAAAACGTGATCGGAAATGGTTGTGGTATTTGTAAACATATCAGTGACAGCGAGAAAAAATAATCTTGATCCGAACAGCTGTTTGTTATTTCATAGATCATTATGTGATAAAAATTGGACGAAAACTTTAAAAAAATCGCACAAAACTGAATTTTTTAAAGTCCGTAATATTATTTACTAAGTAGTGAGGCCATATTTTAATGGCTAAAGACACTCTCGCCAATCCAGTGAATACATTAAAATGACTTGGATCTTGATAGGTACTCTCGTTTTCCTGGAGAAGATTGCGTAAAATGCAGACAGACAGAAATTTAGATGAGACTTGTTTCGGCTTCTTTAATGTATAAAACGTAAAAATAACCTACAAATGAATTATTCTGAGCAATGTACAGACAAAACTCCAATTTTATTTATATAGATTCTCATTGGTTGCAATTTAATAAGTGGTGTAGCAAAACACAAACACAAAATTTATTGAAATGAAATTAAGTAAATGTTAAGTGAATACTATTAATAAACATATTTGCGACATAAAGACATTTAATTGAAGCCTAAAAACCGTTCGAAAAAGGCATTCTATTCTTTATACTAGTAAAAATTAAAATGAGGGTATAAAAAATAGATCATGTTAATCAATGTACATTCATCTAGTCTTGAAAAAATAAGTATTTAAAAGCTTACACCAAACATAATGAAGTTGATCGGTTGTTAACAAAATGTCATCATTTTTCAAACCATGTAAACCTTATAGTTTTCCAACTGTTGCCTTGTTTATTTTTTTCTTTTTACGTTTTTTTTTACTTTATGATGTTTCAATTAATGGTGTAAATATTTATAGTATATATATTTCTGAACAAGAACATATACCCATGTATATATATATATATATAACTAATAAACGTTCCATAAGCATTTTACACGAGAAAACACTATTCGGCAAGTAGCCGGTCATCGTAACCGGTCATCATGAAGGAGCTTGGACGTCGTGCAACAGCGCTGAGCTATATTGGACGTCGTGCAACAGTCAAATATTTATTGGACGTCGTGGCACTTGGACGTCGTGCAACTGGCAGCGACTTTGGACGTCGTGCAACACTCCCGCAAATGTAACTTTTTTACAATTCTATAGTGCGCTGTTTCACGACGTCCAAGTGTCACGACGTCCAAAGCTTGTAGAAAGACTATATTTTTGGCAGTTACTGTACTTTTGGACGTCGTGGCACTTGGACGTCGTGCAACAACTCAAAAATTGTGTTTTGGACGTCGTGGCACTGAATAAATATTATTGGACGTCGTGGCACTTGGACGTCGTGCAATGCATCCTTAAAATCTACTTACTCGGTTTCCCTTCTCATCCTTATTTACAGGATCGTCCAATGAACAAATAGCAGAACCAAACTGTAAACAACATTTACATTTAGGAACATAAAAATAATAGTGTTTTAATAAACATGCAAATTGTTTAAAATACATGTAAACTACAACAACTGTCTACTGTAAACATTTTTTTATCACACAACTTTCCACATGGATTATGGATTCACCCTGGTAAACAGCTGTTTTCCACCTGCTTAATCAAATGAGGTTTCATTTGAGCATAATTAATACCGGTTCTTGCATCATCTGAACAATTCTGACAAAGTATTCTCATTAAAAGAAACTAATATTATTAATATAGACCCCTCCATACATAAGGCTCCTTTATTCTTTGATGTCTTGATGTTAGGAGGTACAAAAACCAAGTGATTCTTCTATAGGAGACACAACAAGTCACACTACAATGATCTGGTGGTGGAAATGACAGGATGGTCATGTTTTGTCAGCAGACCAAGTTAAGGCCTAAAGTCTAACACCTAAGGCCAAGGCCTAGCTAATCCATATTAATATACAACCGCATGTGTAACTCACTGACTCACTGATCAGGTATACTAAAAATTGGGCACTTCTAAAATAGCTAGAGAGCTGAAATTTTCGGTGGAGGTCCGTATGGGTCCCAGACCGCCAGGAAAATCCCAAAAAGTTACATTTTCAAACTGCAACCCCCCCAAAAAAATTCCATTAAAAACACCCTTTTTTGGGAAAAACATGTTTTTTTAAAACAGCTGTAGCTCGAAAACGGTAAGAGCTAGAATCGATTTGAGGAAAAATCGTGAGTTCGAAATTAAATTTTCTACAAGACAGTTTTCTCAGAGAAGGCGTCATATCGAAATTCGCACTCCTTCACCTTCAAAAAACGCTCTACTTCCAAAATTTGTGAAAATTCTCGATTTTTTTAAGTGTTTTTAATTTTTAAAACGACTTTTCGCACATATATTTTTACTTTTAATGCTCCCGACGTCGAAAGGAAAGTCCCTAGAGTAACCTTCTATAATTTAAACCCACAAACAAATTCTAAATGGCGGATTTTCGATAAAAAAAGATCGTTTTATAATGTATTTCTTATGGAGAATTAACATGCGTCGACAGGCAAACTAGACGTAAACGTCAGTAGGTGAAATATGGGCGTTTGGCGACAGAAAAAAACATTTTTGTCACTTCTAGAGTAGCTACGGAGCTGAAATTTTTTGTGATGGTTTGTCTGGGCACCAAACCACCCAGAAAGTCCCAAAATTTAGTTTTTCCAACCAAAACCCACCAAAAGAAATCCCTTAAAACCCTAGTTTTTTTGGGAAAAACATGTTTTTTTAAAACTGCTGTAGCTCGAAAACGGTAAGAGCTAGAAACGATTTGAGGGCAAATCGTAGGTTCAGAATTAAATTTTCTACAAGACACTTTTGTCAAAGAAGGGGTCATATCGAAAATCTGACTCCTTCACCTTCAAAAAACGCCTTACTTCCAAAAATTGTAAAAACTCTTGATTTTTTAAGTGTTTTTAAATGACTTTTCGTACATATATTTGTACTTTTTATGGACACAACGTTGAAAGCAAAGTCCCTTGAGTGACCTTCTATAATTTGAACGTACTAAAAAAAATTAAAAATGGCGGGTTTTCAATCAAAAAGGTAGTTTTTAACGATTTTTTAACGTATTCCAACCCCCTCTCTTTCATCCCAATTAAAATTTTTAAATTCATGACAATAGCTAATTTGCAGCCAAAAGGTGAGTAAGCGTAGCGAACGAGCTCTAACCTAAAGGTGAGTGAGCGTAGCGAATGAGCTAACCTGAAGGCAAGTGAGCGCAGCGAACGAGCTCCAACCTAAAGGTGAGTGAGCGTAGCGAACGAGCTAACCTGGAGGCAAGTGAGCGCAGCGAACGAGCTCCAACCTAAAAGTGAGTGAGCGTAGCGAACGAGCTAACCTGAAGGCAAGTGAGCGCAGCGAACGAGCTCCAACCCAAAAGTGAGTGAGCGTAGCGAGCGAACTAACCTGGAGGCAAGTGAGCGCAGCGAACGAGCTCCGACCTAAAAGTGAGTGAGCGTAGCGAACGAGCTCACCTGAAGGCAAGTGAGCGCAGTGAACGACCTAACCTGAAGGCAAGTGAGTGCAGCGAACGAGCACCAACCTAAAGGTGAGTGAGCGTAGCGAACGAACATCAACCAGGATATGATTGAGCCATGCGTTTAGTTTAATTTTTTTCCCATCTCCACCCCAAATTCGTGTTTAATGTCAAGACTGGTTTGGTGGGTTGCACTAAACAACCCCCTATGGAATACTTCGCAACTGCCAAGTTATCACTACGTCTTTTACGCAAAAAGCTAAAATGTTTCCGGATAACATCCTGTCCCCCGTGACAATTTCTCATCACGGCTACTATTAAAAGGGGGCCTGGGGGCGGAGCCCCCAGCGAGCACAAGGCGAGTCTAAATAACTATACAGCCCGATGTGTAACTGACTCACTCACTCACTGGGGATACTAATTCTAGACCACTTCTAGATGAGCTAGAGACTTGAAATTTTCGGTGGTTGTAGGTCTAGTGCCCAAACCCCCGGGAAAATTCCAAAAAGTGACATTTTTTTATTTTAACCCCCCCGTAATCTCGAATTTCCCCCCCATGTTATTCTTATGGGAAATAGCATAGAAAATTGCTGACTTTGGTAAGCTCATCTGAACAACTTAGAAACGTGCTAGAGACTTCAAATTTGCGTAGTATTGTAGTGAGAGATCTTACGTTGGCGGTGGAATGTGCAAATGTCCCATTTTCAAATTTTAACCCATCCAAAAATCCAAAATGGCGGACCTCTGAAAATGAAAAAAAACACTTTCTTTCAACCGGATGTAGCTCGAAAACGGTAAGAGATAGAAAAGATTTGAAAGTATATCCAGGAACAGGAATTAAATTTTCTACAAAACCCTCTTAGGCGTTTTCCAAAAATCGGACTCCTTCAGCTTCAAAAAACGGCCTACTTTCAAAATTTTGTAAATTTCATTCACATTTTTTACGGTTTTCGCTATTTTTTCATATTTAAATAATTTCCGGATAACATCCTGTCCCCCGTGACAATTTCTCATCACGGCTACTATTAAAAGGGGGCCTGGGGGCGGAGCCCCCAGCGAGCACAAGGCGAGTCTAAATAACTATACAGCCCGATGTGTAACTGACTCACTCACTCACTGGGGATACTAATTCTAGACCACTTCTAGATGAGCTAGAGACTTGAAATTTTCGGTGGTTGTAGGTCTAGTGCCCAAACCCCCGGGAAAATTCCAAAAAGTGACATTTTTTTATTTTAACCCCCCCGTAATCTCGAATTTCCCCCCCATGTTATTCTTATGGGAAATAGCATAGAAAATTGCTGACTTTGGTAAGCTCATCTGAACAACTTAGAAACGTGCTAGAGACTTCAAATTTGCGTAGTATTGTAGTGAGAGATCTTACGTTGGCGGTGGAATGTGCAAAAGTCCCATTTTCAAATTTTAACCCATCCAAAAATCCAAAATGGCGGACCTCTGAAAATGAAAAAAAACACTTTCTTTCAACCGGATGTAGCTCGAAAACGGTAAGAGATAGAAAAGATTTGAAAGTATATCCAGGAACAGGAATTAAATTTTCTACAAAACCCTCTTAGGCGTTTTCCAAAAATCGGACTCCTTCAGCTTCAAAAAACGGCCTACTTTCAAAATTTTGTAAATTTCATTCACATTTTTTACGGTTTTCGCTATTTTTTCATATTTAAATAATTTCTTTTTGCAAATATTATTAATGCTCTGTATTCTTCTTACTTTACTTTATATTTTACTCATTTAATGGTTTTTTGTATCTTTACTCCTTAACCCCCAAAACTTAGGTTTAATGTCAAAATTTAAAGGTTTTTTACCACTTTTACAAGCCCCATGTTATTCTTATGGAGAATAACATTGAAAAATGCCGACTTTAGTATGCTCATCTGAACCACTTAGAAACGTGCTAGAGACTTGAAACTTGGTAGTATTGTAGTATGGGATCTTATATTACCGGTGAAATTCCCAAAAGTCCCATTTTCAAATTTTAACCCCCCCAAAAATCCAAAATGGCGGACCTCTGAAAACGAAAAACACTTTTTTTTTTCAACCGGATGTAGCTCGAAAACGGTAAGAGCTAGAAAAGATTTAAAACAATCTTAGCGAAAGGAAATTAAATTTTCTACATAACCCAGTTAGGCGTTTTCCGGAAATCACACTCCTTAACCTTCAAAAAACGCCCTACTTTCAAAATTTAGTAAATTTCTTTGAAATCTTTTACGGTTTTCGCTATTTTTTCATACTTAAATAATTCTTTTTTGCAGATATTATTAGTGCTCTGTGTTCCCCTTAATTTACTTTAAATTTAATTTATTTAATGTTTTTTTGTATCCTTACTCCTTAACCCCCAAAACTTAGGTTTAATGTCAAATTTTAAAGGTTTTTTACCACTTTTACAAGCCCATGTTATTCTTATGGAGAATAACATTGAAAATGGTAGACTTTGGTGTGCTCATCTGAACCGTTTAGAAACGTGCTAGAGACTTGAAACTTGGTATTATTGTAGTAAGGGATCTTATATTAATAATGAAATTTGCAAAAGTCCCATTTTCAAATTTAACCCCGCCAAAAATCCAAAATGGCGGACCTCTGAAAACGATAAAACAAGTTTTTTTTCAAACGGATATAGCTCGAAAACAGTAAGAGTTAGAAAAGATTTGAAAGGATCTTAGCGAAAGGAAATTAAATTTTCTACTGAACCCATTTGAGCGTTTTCCAAAAATCGCACTCCTTAAGCTTCAAAAAACGTCCTAATTTAAAAATTTTGTAAATTTCTTTCAAATTTTTACCGGTTTTCGCTATTTTTTCATACTTAAACAATTCCTTTTTGCAAATATTATTATTGCTTTGTGTTCTCCTTACTTTACTTTAAATTTTACACATTACATGTTATTTCGTAATTTTACTCCTTGACCCAAAATACTTAAGTTTTTACCACTTTTACGAGCCCCATATTATTCTTATGCAGAATAAGATTGAAATTTACGTGTTTTTAATTTTTAAAACGACTTTTCGTATATATATTTCTATTTTTTATGCTCCCAACATTAAGAGAAAAGTTACGTAAGTGACCTTCTATAATTTTAATTTACGAAAAAAAATTTTAAATGGTGGATTTTCAATCAAAAAGGTAATTTTTTACGCATTTTCTTATGGAGAATTAGCATGTTTTGACAGGCATGTTCGGGCACTTCTAGACGTGCCAGGGAGATGAAATGTGGCACGCACGTGGGTTTTGGGCCCAACCACTCGGTAAAATTCCGAAAAGTCGCATTTTCCTCTTTCAACCCCCTCTAAATTAACAATTCCCTCCCCATGTTATTCTTTTGGGAAATAACATTGAAAAATACCGACATTCGTACGCTCATCTGAACCGTTAAGAAACGTGCTAGAGACTTGAAATTTTGTAGTTTTGTAGTACGGAATCTTACATTACCGGTGAAATTCGTAAAAACCCCATTTTCAAAATTCAACCCCTCCAAAAAAATCAATTAAAAAACCCTATTTTTGGAAAACACGTTTTTTTTAAACAGCTGTAGCTCGAAATCGGTAAGATCCAGACGCGATTTGAGGAAAAATCGTAGGTTCGCAATGAAATTTTCTACAAGACAGTTTTATCGGAGAAGGCGTCATATCGAAATTCACACTCCTTCACCTTCAAAAAACGTTCTAACTCCAAAAATTGTGAAAATCCTCTATTTTTTTACGTGTTTTTAATTTTTAAAACGACTTTTCGTATATATATTTCTACTTTTTATGCTCCCAACATTGAAAGGAAAGTCCCTAGAGTGACCCTCAATAATTTAAACCCACAAAAAATTCAAAATGGCGGATTTCCAATTGAAAAGATGATTTTTAAAGCATTTTCTTATGGAGAATTAGCATGCGTCGACAGGCAAACTAGACGTAAACGTTAGTAGGTGAAATATGGGCGTTTGGTGACAGAAAAAACACTTTTGTCACTTCTAGAGTAGCTACAGAGCTGAAACTTTTTGTAAAGGTTTGTCTTAATTGGCAACCAAAAGGTGAGTGAGCGTAGCGAACGAGCTCCAACCTAAAAGTGAGTGAGCGTAGCGAACGAGCTAACCTGAAGGCAAGTGAGCGCAGCGAACTCCAACCTAAAGGTGAGTGAGCGTAGCGAACGAGCTTACCTGAAGGCTAGTGAGCGCAGCGAACGAGCTTCAACCTAAAAGTGAGTGAGCGTAGCGAACGAGCTAACCTGAAGGCAAGTGAGCGCAGCGAACGAGCTTCAACCTAAAGGTGAGTGAGCGTAGCGAACGAGCTTACCTGAAGGCAAGTGAGCGCAGCGAACGAGCTTCAACCTAAAGGTGAGTGAGCGTAGCGAACGAACTTCAACCAGGATTTGATTGAGCTATGCGTTTAGTTTAATTTTTTCCCCATCTCCACCCCAAATTCGTGTTTAAACCTGAAATTTTAACTTATTTTCCCAATTTTTTTTGATTTTGACTGCGCAAGGGGTCCATTCTTCATGCCGATAATTTTCACCAACCCCCCGCCCCCGAAGGGGGCCTAAGATTTTGTTTAAATATTAATTTACCTCACTCTAACTCCTAAGACTTTATATCGATGTTTTAGAAGAAAGTTTTAGAGGTTGTGACTTAGCAAATTTAATTTATCATAGCACCGGCCCTACATCGAGACTCTAACATGTCAAGACTGGTTTAGTTTGCACTAAAAACCCCTCTATAGAATACTTCGCAACTGCCAAGTAATCTTAATCTGTCTTTTGCTTTTTGCTTATCTGTCTTTTACGCAAAAAGCAAAAATGTTTCCGGACAACATCCTGTCCCCCGTGAACATTTCTCATCACGGCTACTATTAAAAGGGGGCCTGGGGGCGGAGCCCCCAGCGAGCCAAAGGCGAGTCTAAATTATATACAATGTGATTCAAACTTACATGGTTGGCGACAGGAATTTGTGATTCTGTTGAAGGCTTCAATGGTAAGTTCTTATCAATTTTTAAGCATGATACAAAATCCACCTAAAATGTACAACAATTTAAATCAGAAGCAAATATTTGAAATAACAGTAAGTACAGGTCAAAAACTATGCAGAATAGAGACTGGATTTCGAGACATGATCAGGGTGAAATGTCTACCTCTCAAAATTTGGGGTGTACAGTAGACTCCCTCTTAATCGGGCTCCTCGGGACCAACGCCAGTCCGGATAATGGGTTTTCCGGTTAACCGATGTACCCAAAAACTCGTTAAAACGGACCGTTTAAATGCATATTGTATACAGTAGTTGCATCAAATTTAGGAGAGCGTTGTATTTAGACATGTGATTACTGGTTCCCACGAGAACGGTCGTTTAAGTACCGCCCACTACCTGCCGATCTACTCTGGTTAAACCGATGTGCTGATAAAAATTTTCCGGTTAAAGAGATGTCATTTCTGCCGAGTGTAGTCGGGTTAAACCGATGTCTGGTTAAAAGGTGTCCGGATAAGAGGGAGTCTACTGTACTAGAAAATTTAAAATATTTATCATATAAAATTAGTTTTCCAAGATTATTTAAGATTTCATATTTAACTGGAAACAATTCCAGCTATGTAGTCTGTGATACTGTTGAAAGCAAAGCAACCAACTGGCACGAGCAGCAAAATCAAGATTCGTTACCACGATCACGTGGACTTTGAGATAATTTTATCCCAAACCACAGCATCAGAACATTATTCTTCCTGGCACATTTACCTTAACACTTAAAACAATGTTAACTTTTAATGTAGGTAGATTTTCTTCTAATAATACTAGCCCCATCTAAGAATGAAACTAAACTAGGGTTCGTTTACATAAAATCAACTAAACATACAACTCTACAACACAACAACAACAGAACACATACAACTTAACACGGTCTATTCAACTTAACATACAGTATTTGGTTTACCTAAGTGACACTAAAAACAGAATGTCACATACAAAATATTATACACGTGTTTCTTGGTTGGTTATTCATTCTTATTTTCAATAATCTTACCTCATCTTCGGCCATGTCTTTGTTCTTACTCTGCGAAAGCTGAAAAATACATAGCTAAATAATTAAAAAATCTAAACAAAGTTTAAAACAAACACTACCAAGATATCACTTGATAATGAAGCCACCAACTTTATCAAGACAAATTATAAAAATACAAAACCACTAAATAAAAAAGAATTACGAATGTTCATTAACATTTCACACAATCTAACCCATATCATCAACTGGATAAATCACATTGGACACCAGTTCTTGATTTTTTATACTCTTCGAGAGCTCATCAACTAGCTTTGACAGTAGCTTGTGCTCTGTGTTAGATGAACTCGGTATTTGTCTCTACTCTCTACTTGTCAAGCAAATATTGTACGGTAAAACCTCAATAAGAAGACTCATGGGGATTAAATAAGACTTGTTATCAAGGTCGACTTCTTATCGAGATTTGCAATAACATTTGGTTAGGGGAAAAACAAATTCAAGGGGATTTGAAAATTACACTCGTTATTCAAGGATGACTTATTATCAAGTATGACTTGTTCTCGAGTGTCTTGTTATCGAGGCTCCACTGTAAGAAATTTGCAATAATGAACCACCTCAGAAGTATAAGCAATTCATGCAACTAAAAACTATCTAGACACAAACCCCACAAATTTAACTTACATAATTATAATTTGAAAGACTGGAAATCCACCTAAAACGCTCTTATCACAACTGTCTCAAAAATGTGTTTTTGTAGGACGGTGAATTAAAATTGTGAAAATAGGCCATTTTTAAATATTTTGATAAGTTCTGCAAAAAGAAAATTTACATTGAAGCTGTTAGTGGTAGTTGAAGGACACTATGGTGGTAGTAAAATAATAATCACTATAATTATCATCAATAACTTGTATTGCCATTGTCACAACATACTAAATAAACCTACCTTGGCACATTGTTCCAGACAATTCTTGAGAGCTATCAAGTTGACTCTCTCAGCACCAACTGGATTTCTGAAATGCTCATGTTTATCAAACAATTGGAAATAAAAAATAAACAGTTTTGCCATTTTTATTAAAGTTTTAGGTAAATGTGGCATTAGGCCAGGGCTTTTAAGGATTTTTTAATGGATAGGCATTGGAACAGACTTACCACATTCAAAAATAGATGTAAATGCACAAATAAACACATATGTGCTATCTATAATATTAAAACGAAACAGTGTTTTTTTATTTCACGATTCTGAATCAACCACTCGACGGATTTTCATGATTTTTGTGTTGAAAGAAAGATAATTTCGAGAACTAGGGAATGTCGAAGCCATAATTTTAGTTTAGGGTCTCAGTTTTTTAGAAATTAATTTTTAATTTTTAAAAAGTCTAGCAGCCGACGCTAAGATTCTAAACTAGCTTTTGGCATAAAATAATTTGCTTAACATAACAGCTGTAAACATTCAGCTTTTGTGTCACAAATTCAGCATTTGGATAAAAATGTAAAGACATACTTAGGGTTGACTTATTTATACTATGTGTAATGCTAATCATTGATACGTTCAATTCTTCTGTAAGAGGATGACAGATAAATTAAATATACATAGTAAAATACTAGGATGTTCAAATTATTTTTTAAAGCAATCTTTGTAATCTTCGATTTGTTTTAGAGCAATATAGTTTGTTTTAACTAACGGCTGGTTATATATAAACTATGGAACTATGAGGTTATTTTATTTACTCTTATTTTGTCATTGATTATAGGAAAGAAGTAAGATTAGTAGAGATAATTAGACCACAGTTTAAACCACAGTTTTAACCTAAATTAATTAAACCACAGTACAAATCGAGACTCTGTACGTGAGTCTTAATAAAAAAGGATAAATGCAAATTATTTTACTGCAACACTTTTCAAGGAAAGATTAGAAAAATAACAATGTTTACATGTTTTAATTCTTCGTGGTAGCTTTTTGTTTACAATTAATGTTTGTCTGCTTTAACTTTGCTTGGATTATGCCCGGAAATATTGATGTCATAAAAAGATGAATCAGGAATCACGATTTTAAATTACCACCACAACCTCAGCCGGGTTTTATACAAAGATAAACAGATGGATGACATAGATTGAACACAACGTCAACATTGACCTAGGATACTGCAATTAGACAAACCATCCTTTTATGAAATCGTGTTCAGTTGTGGTTACGTACAAACGTGAAAATATCACTTTTATTTCAATTATGAATATATTGTAGTTTAAATTAACTAATATGGGAAATTACAATGTATATTTATTCAATGAGGGTGGGTAATTATCAAGGATAGAACTGATAACAGTACAATTACAGTACGGATAACAAACATTGACAATTACGTCATTAGCTTTACTAGCGTGTTTACTTTTTATATTCCTGCTACATGTGACCAGTTCTTTTTTTCAAATGAATGTTATTTTAACCAAACAACTGTTTCAAAACAAACTTTTATTGTTTTTACTTTTCTTTGTTTACGCTTATTTATTTAGCAATTAATGCAGTGAAATTGATATAAAGGATAGGTGTGACGATTAGTTTTGATCTTAGGACACCAAAGTTAAATTATGTGTACTGTGAATTTTATTGGATATTATCGTTTTGGCGTCAATATTACAATAGAAAAAAGCGAGAGAGCCTGGATAAATTGATGTCTTCAAAAGAAAACTGAATTAACACTGTGCTGCATTTCTTAGTAAGCATTGAAAGATCTGATTTAAACTATGGAAATATAGGAAAGTCATTTATAACATCACCAAGGAGAAAAAATAGAATTTTTTTTAGAATTTATAATTGTTATTATGGCAATCTAATGAGGCTATGAGTAAGGCTATTTGTAGAAAACACTAAAAAAAGATTAGCTTTTGACAAATGATAAGATATTTACAGAGATTATATCGATATGTTATGTAGCTACATCATGAGTATTTCCAAAATCTTAATAATTAATCTTATATAATTAATATATAAAGAGTCATCTGCAAAAATCGTCCCACTAGCATTAAAAGGCATCATGCGTGGGAACGCATATAGCTTCCGTTTCCCAGGAAATTTATAGACTTTTGAGCACTAACTTCTGTCACAGTATTATTCTTATTTCCTATCCAAAATATAAAATTTGTTTAGTCGAATTTGACGCTTTGGTAAACTAGTTTTTAAATAAAAAATATTCATGGTTAAAAACTAAAAAATATTTCTCATTAACGATAAAATGTTCAAGATATAGGTACCTTTAAAATTTGAAGTCAATAGTATCAATTACAATGTAAACTCAACCTAGACCTAGATCAGTTACCTGCCGGCCTCAATTGAGATTGCTGATGATATAGACTTGTCTGAGCGTGCTCGTACTCTGACAGCGTCCAAGAACAACAACGTCTCTCTCAGCATGTAGTCAGGACGGTGGTTGTGTCCCATCCTGAGACCAGAGATGGTGATAGGAGCCTCCTTCTGCGTGTTCATACAAGCCTTCACTGGACACTTGGGCTCAACACATGCAAGATATCTGCAAATATTTGGAAATCAGAATCGTTTTAAATTGTACCTTGACAGTTTTTTCAACCAGAGCTATGTTTTCATTAGGAAAATTTTTAGAGAAATATTTGGCTGTGGAAGATTTTTATGATCGCACCATAACACATTATATGAGGGATGTAAATATTGTGTAAATATACCTTTGTTTTAATAAACCATAATTGCTATTTTTCCAGCTCTGTTTAATTTATTACTTCACACCCAAAAAAAAAAAAAAAACATTGCTTAGATTTCACACATTATTTATTTTTTATACTACCTCCATAAAAAAAATACCCCTGCCGCAGCAAACCTGCAAACTAAGCGAATTTCCATTTGCCTGATTTGATTTTCAATTTATTTTATTTATTTATTTACTACATGTCATTACATCATTTTTTGACAGGACATAAAGTCATATACAGGATATACTAAAACTAAGAAATAACAAAAATGTCTTACTAAATTATTAATCTAACTTAACGTCCCTATTTAAATAACATTCTATAGAAAAAAAATTTTTTGTTTTTAACCAGGTCTTCAGGGTGGATCTGAACTGTGTTTTACTATCAATATTTTTTATGCGGAGTGGTAACTTATTGTAAACTTGTGGGCCTATATATTGGGGAGATAAATGAAATTTCTCTAATCTATGGGTTTCAGGCTTAATATAACTCTTAAATCTAGTGTGGTGGGAATGAATGGGTTGGTTCATGAATGAGGAGAGATTGTCTTTAACCCAATTTGAAATTTCTAAAATATAGTGATCATAAAATGTTAAAACCGAAAATGTTTGAAAAAGACTTTTACAAGGAGTTCTACGAGGAACTCGCCCAATAATTCTAATTGCTTTTTGTTGAAGTTTGAATATTTTGTTGGAGTGGCATGAGTTTCCCCAAACCAGAATACCATATGTCATTATTGAAGAAAAATAAGCATGATAAACTATAAGCTGAGTCTTCAAGTCAACAGCTTGTCTGATTGCACGAAGAGAGAAAATACAGCGGTTTAATCGTTTGATCAAATTAACAACTTGTGATTTCCAGTTAAGATTTTCATTGACAGTTATACCTAAAAAATTCACAACCTCATTACCTTCATTACCTAAATCCATTCAAATAACATTAGGTTTAACGAGTACCTAGGTTTGCTGCCTACAGGGTAATAAAGTGTGTTTTTTGGTAAAATATTAATAGCTTAGTATAAAATAAATAGATTGGCCAAGTTTGATCCAAATATATGCATAAACAATCAAACTACAACAGTTTACGTATTCTCCATAAGAATAACATGGGAATTTTTAATTTACAGTTTTCTCCGCAACCAATAACCATACAAAAACACTTCAATATAGGCTACTGAATTATTTGTTTTTTTAAGCTCTTCAAAATGGTCTAGAGGAAATTTGGAAAATTTTATGTTTTGAGGGTCAAAAATGAGAAAAACCGATTTTTACCCCCATTAATCCCCGTTCCCATGGTCCGATCATGCTGGTTCACGAACTCCTTCAAACAAACGTAGGTTTACACGTTTGTACCAAATTTCATCGAAATCGGATCATTTTTGCTCGAGTTATCGTTCTGACGGACACACACATATCTAAATATATAAATGGCAAAGCCCTCACTGACTGACTCACTCACTGACTCACTCACTCACTCACTCACTCACTCACTCACTCACTCACTCACTCACTCATCACTAATTCTCCCATTTCCCATTTACCTAGGAGGCTGAAATTCGGTACACCGATTCTTTGGGCATTAAATAGGAAAACTAAGTAGTTTTTATTCTGATCGGGCTTTTGGGCTCCGCCCCAGTGGCTCTGGAGTTTCCCATGTTAACCTTATGATTTTTCATATTTAAAATAAATTTCTTAACAGCTGTTTCAATTAAACAAGTTGGTTCTGTTCTATGATGTTCAATAGCATTAAAGTTACAAGGATTACCAACAGGGTGCAGCACTATTATTTTTTTTAATTTATGACTACATCCAATTTGCAACCAAAAGGTGAGTGAGCGTAGCGAACGAACTTCAACCTGGAAGCAAGTTAGCGTAGCGAACGAACTTCAACCTGGAGGCGAGTTAGCGTAGCGAACAAACTTCAACCTGGAGGCGAGTTAGCGTAGCGAACGAGCTCCAACCTAAAGGTGAGTGAGCGTAGCGAACAAACTTCAACCAAGACGTGATTGAGCCATGCGAACGAGCTCACTTGTGAAGTTAAACGGGGCAAAGCCCGCGGGTACAGCTAGTATATATACATATGAATTTGAACGGATGGTGTTTTTGGCTTCTAGAGACATCAAAATGAAAAAGTAAATCGGTCCCGGGACTAAGTCTTACCATGAGACCTACGGTAATAGCTTATTCCCTATAGGGAAATTCGCTAAAAATGAGTTTGAACAACTTATAACTAAAAAAATGCTATTAATTAAGGAACCACTCAATGCAAAAATAATCTCTCTAAACCATGAATAAGCTGAGCTGTTCATAAAAACAAAATGTAAGTGGTTATTATGGACCACCCGTAATAAGACATACCGTACATGATCTAACATAAGATTTTTTTGATGAAACCAAAGTTTCCCTTCTGCTTGGGGAGAAAAATAGTGTGGTGTTCCTGTTTTGAAAATCAGGGTGGGATCAAAACTGTGCCCCGAAATAAGGTAAAATCCTGCCAAGCCCTTGATTTCATGAAAATTAACTACTAAAATAGTAGTGAGAATGTAATTTCCTAGTAGGTTCTGTATTGTATTTTACGAGATTCAAGATTTAATTTTGCCAACCAGGTTTGTATTCGAAATGCTTACCGTATGTTGTCAGCCTGACTGGTTTGATGGTAGTAGTACCCTTTGCCATCGTGATAACAGCAATACTGCACACGCAGGCTGGGTAGACGTTCTGATGGCAAACTATCTGCTAACCACTGGTCTTCCCACTGGGGTAGGACAAATATATTTATTAACATTTATTTCTATTTATAAAAGGTGCATTTAGTAAAAAAATGGCTCAAGTAACGTTTAACAGAATAGTGATTGCCTGAGCATTGTTATTAATGTAAATTTTGTAATGTTTTGCTAACTTTCAAATGGTTGTTTTTACTTCTCAATAGTGATAAACTTTGTGATATTAGTTTAAGACCAATTATATAACTTAAAATGCAATTTTCTTTTTTCGTAGACTTCAAAGTACACTTTGTAACTTACTTCTTAATTTGACAACTGCTCTGCATGAAAAATGTTTGACTCTTCCAATACATTTGTAATATGTCTACTGGAAATAAACATGTCTTATGTCTTATGTCTTAATGAAAAGTTGATAAAATTGATGAAAAGATGAATGAAAACCACAAAATAATTTTAACTTGAAATGGTCCATTACAATATTAAATGACAGAGGGTTGCAAAAAAGGATTCATTACAAATTAATCACTTGTTTACTAAATCAGTTAGTTTCTTTTGGTTTACTTGTTTTCGTTTTAGGATTCAACTTTGGTTTTTAAGAGTTCAGGGTGAAAGTCGATCATAAATATTATACCTCTTGACTTAATTCAAGTGATGTTTTGTTGAATTTTATCTGGTGAAAAAATATCTTTTAGAATGAAAACATTTCTTAGATTATGCCTTGACTGAAGAGAATTCTTAAATTTGGATGGTTATGCACCTCTTTCATCTTCTCACGGTAGTTGGTAGAGAAGTCTGGCCGATGATTGTGAGGACGGCTCCCGTTTATCGGCTTTATTTCTGCGTCATCATCCAAAGCCAGCATCGCCTGCGCAAGGCATGTAGGGAACAGGCATCGGAGTATCCTATGAACAAAAATGATCAATAGTATGCACAAAGTTTAATAGCTACCACTTCATAATATTATCAATTGAACATAAAGATAAAAAGCAATACGTATTAGATGAAATTTCATATTGCCAACAACAAAAAAAAAACAACAAGATCAACAAGATTTCATACCAGAAACTAGCAGAGTACCTCTTCTTCGTACGGGGTAGACGTATAAGTATAAAATTGTGCTTTAAGTTTGCAAAGGGGAGGACACGGTTTGAGAAAATTTGGTTCTATAAATTAACGGCATGCTGTAGTATAACACATCTACCATAACTATAATGTGCTACCACTGCACCTAAACAATAGAAAAAATTTCTATCAATCATTCGCACAATATCACAAAAAAAGTTAAAAACGTAAACATAGCTTTGAACGATCCTTCTTTGACAGTTCTCATTGTGTATCATAGCTTTTTGTCACTGCTTAGTTCAAATTAGCTGTTGTCATAATAGCAAAAATTGTTTAGTGCTGCACCCTGTTGATAAATCTTATAGCTTTTTAATGCTATTAGAACTTTTTTAGTAAGAACAGCTGACAAAATTCTTTAATTCCTTTTAAATATGAATACTCATAAGGTTAACATGGAAAACTCCAGAGCCACTGGGGCGGAGCCCGAAAGGATTTTTGAGTTAAAAATATGTCTATACGTTAATTAGGAATTTGAGCTACCATCATGTCAAATTGCAGCCCAATCAGACTAGTAGCGTGATTGAACTTCAAACAAACAAACACACAAACTTTCACACACAACTTTTAATCATGATGTTCAAAACAGTTGTTACATTATTTAAAACACTTTAACAAGAATTGTATTCCTAACTACACCTACCTCACGTCATTTTCTATTTTAGTAGAGAAGTAATAATGCCCTCGGTGGTCATAGAAGTATTCTGGACCCTCGATTCTTTCATAACGTTTTTTCTTCACAGGTTTTTGTCTACTTGAAGGAGCTCTGTTTAGAACCACGGCTGCTGATTTCATCTATCATAAATATATCAGATTAGCACAAAATAATTTCAAGGAAATTCAAGTGGGTGTTTAAACATTGGAAAGAGAAGTTCAGATAGTTTACCTGGGAAATTTAAGTCCCGGGGCTTACAAATAAACGTTAAAAGGATACCTAACACAGTTTAAACAAAAAAAACCATATCTTGGCAGTGACATTCTACAATTAACCACTAATTATACAATCCATATTTATTTAATAATGTATTTGTTTAGTAATCAACACCCTAATGTTTAAACCATCATTATGAACCAAATCTTTTGCTACACAACATAACACATAACATAACACAACATAACAACATAACACGTTGTGATTTAAAAATAACCTTTATTACACAACTAAAATGGCTCATAAAAAATGAACATAAAATAATATTGCAATATTCATGCAGACCAAGCAAATTTCTAATCAACACTACTTGCGATGTATAAGCTTTGTAAAATAATCCGGCAACTTCAAGCAAAACAAAATTATAACATAGCACTTCAATACTCACTGTTTGTAACAGTTTATCATCAGTGACTGAAATCTTAGTAGGACGTATCGCTGGTGACTTCAAAACCTCTTTACTAGCTTGGGCCTTGAAAATGGAAAAATGGTAATGAGTGTAGGTCATAATCAAATGGAGCTCTATTAATGAGATGTACTGGTATTGAATGAGAAAAACTAAAGGTTGAGTCCATTGCACAAAATATACTAAACCCAAATAAATAGTTTTCATCTTCTAAATGGATTGGTTAAAAAGTAGCATGTTTTCGTCATATACCTTGATAATAAAACAAGTTGAATTCTACCTCGAACATCTATAAACCATTACCAACCAGACAAACATAGCCACCTTTTACCCTCTAGCATTGCACTATGTCTCCCTCTGATTGCTGGAGAAGATGGTGATGTCCACACGAGTTCTAGTTATAATCAATAATTTGCTGTGGTCCCTAAAAGCGATGATGATTTTTTTATGTGATTGAGAGATTTGTTTAGGAGTTTTCTACGATTGTGGAAGATGATATGGATTTTGCCTTGATTGTGGAGGATCATGATACATGTTTTCATGATCGTGTAAAACAATAATGATGTTTTCATGATCACGGGGGATAAACAAGATTTTGCCAAGATTACAGAAGACGGCGATGATCTCTACATGACCATCGCAAATAGTCTTGATATTACCAAGATAACATTGTCAATGATAGGCGATGACACGTTCGGATTATGCAAGGAGTTAGAAAAGCCAAGGTCGAATCAGCAAGGTTCTACAATTATCAAAAACTTAGTGATATACATCATTCATTGTCTAAATAACCTCCATCTCTCTTTAATATAGTATTACAGCATTCCTAAGTCAATCACTACAGTGTTCAAGTTTTCACTTGGTACAATACAAAGATAATTTCACAAAAGATCTTCACAATCATCCCAGGAATTGTTATACATAGTCGCCTTACCTCAGCCCCGAAGTGATTGTGAGCAGGACTGTTTTTCTCCATTATGATTGGAGCATTTTCTTCCAGTGTCATTTTAGCTTTTGCGTTGCATCCTCTTGTGTTGCAAGCCAAGTACCTGTGGACATCCTCAACTTAAATCCCAAGTTGCCTCGTAACTCGATTATTATTGTTCCAAAAACTTGCACTTGTCAAACTAGTAAATGTTGTTAAACGCAATACATAAATATAACAAACTTTGTTTTGGGATCGTATGGTGTCAAAAGAAAGCTTCAAACACAATTGTGATTACAAGGGGTAATGTCATATACCAACATTTGTGATTGTTATGACAAATATCAAAGCTTCCTTCCATTATTGTATCTTTGGGGGTTAAAACGTTTACCACTTCTTGGCAAATTATGTATTTCTTCCATTAAGGTTTAAGAATTGCTTTAGAATAACACAAAGAAAAACAAACGGTTTTAGCAAATACACATACTCTCTCCCGTTAGATTGTCAAAAACCCTTATTATGGTAGAGCGGTGGGAGTACTGTATGATATTTCATGGGTATAAGGAGAAAAATTTCAATAGATTTTGAGACATGAATTTTAGAGCTGTTCATTCACGTATTAATTAAACTATTTAATTCAATAATCAATTTGAAACAAGATAGTGTTTATTTAAAAAAATCATAACAAAATATAATCAACAACTAGAGATCAGCTGGTTATAGTAATACCAACAAGAGCATTGGGGGATGTACCATCTTGTTAAGAGTTAAAGGATCATGAGATACACATTTTTTATCAAAACCATTACAGCCAAACTTACCAACGTGGCAGCTCTAGCAGTTTTTATGAAAGTCCAATTTTTAAGTATTTTATGAAAATCTGTTATGGCATAAGTAAACAATTAAACTAAATTTCCTTTGGAGACAACTATTATTATTGACTAAAAACAGCTGAGTTCTTGATGGTAGTTATTTTGACACTGTTGCTCTGATCCACACTTACCGGGTGTTGCCAGAGATGGCTAAAGGTTTGTAGACAACTCCATTGCCATCCTTGTAGAGGTAAGAGTGCGGATGAGGACCTGCCATCCGTTCAGAGGCTTTTGTTGAGATCTGCAAAATATAACTCCAGATATAACTTATTAGTTGCGGCAGATCATGGAAGTTTTTTGAATAAAACTAGAGTTTAGCTTAGCTAGCTTCCTTGACAAAATTAAGAGTCCAGGGGCTGATAGATCCTGAGTAAAAGAACACAAAATGTAAAACTGATATTCATCCTGATGTCTGACTTCTTCAGAGCGCCTAGGTTGAAGAGAAAATGGAGAAGGAAAACGAAGAGGTTTTCTCTTATTTGTGAGTCTATTTTAATTTATGAAGGGATTCTGCACATCTACAGGAAAACATCTTTCCAAAAGTATACTGAGAAAAAAGGTTTTAAAGAAACATGCTTGCTTGCCTATTAATATATAGGTAACATTACAATAATTAACTTTAAATTACTAAAACATCACCAACAGTAATGATAACCCCATTTTCGTATAGATGTAAACAAAATTGTATCAAAGCCATCTGTTTTGATGTAAACAAATGTAACTTAAAAAAGTTCTGATGGTTGACAACAGAATTCAGCACAAACTCTGAAATGTTAAAAGCCTAGGCATACAGCATGAAGGGCTTTCACGGGATATCATCCAAATCCGCAAAAGGCACATCTAGAGGATACTAGCTTTAAATTGATACCCAATATGCATATAAAAATAAATAAATACAATTCTGAATACAATAATTTAGAAATAATAGTTATTAGCTAGCTTACCTTGAAGACGTACAGGTAGCCATAGAACATAAAGAAGATACACAGAGTACACACTTTTTCTCCCTTGGACTTATATAATTATGTTTTGTACATAGTTGTAAAAAAACTAGTGAAATGTGGCACCACTGAGTAGTTGGCAACAGTCGTGACAGCAGCCATTTTGTAAACTCTCTTCAACTTTCTCTACACTTGACAAAGTCCCCCAGAGGGCGAATTATCGTTTGTACAGTTTCTTTTCTGTATGTTCCATGGCCAACCACACTTCTTCAAGGTAAGCTAGCTGTATCCTACTTTATTATGGAATTCAAAGTCCTGGCCTGCAGCCTTTCATTGAACTAACAAACCTCGGATATACGTAAGTATTTCTGATACCAAGCACACCCTAATGTATTATTTATTACTATACTTACAACTGATACAGCTTCAAACTTGTCTTTCACATTGGTCACTTTTTTATTAGAAGATTGATCTGATCTGCAACATCAAAATTTGTTAATAACAATTTTGAAATATTTAAAATAAACTCAAATTAATTGGCATTTATTTTTTAACTTATAGAAACTGTAAAGTGAAATTGAATTGAATTGTAAAATAAAAGATAGAAAATATCTAGTACATGTTTATTGAAAGTAGCAGTGGACTGTAATCATTATAAGTTTGTTTTTAAAATATGTATAAACAAACAAAACATATGATTTGAATCACACATTGATAAATATAGTCTTTTTGAGAAATAATTGTATATAGGCTATGTAAATTATGTGTTTTTACACATTCTGGCCCCTTGAAATATTAAATTTTGTTATTTCAATCCATTTCTTGACCTGGTAAAGGGCACAGTTTTGAAATAGATCTTTTTATCAGTCCATCCTTTGTTTGTAATGTAGCAACTCGCACAAAATTGTCTTTTCCTGGATGCACTGCGATCACTCGCCCAATTTTCCAAGTACAAGGTGGTAAATTGTCGTCTTGAATAAGCATTATATCATCAATTTTTATATTAGGTCTTGATGTATTCCACCTTGACATTTTCTGCAGTTGGTTCAGATATTCCTTGCACCAGTGGATCCAAAAATGCTGCGAGAGTTGTTGAACATGTTGCCATCGAGAAAGTCTATTTAATTTCAGATCTTTAAGATTAGGTTCCGGAACACTGGTGAAAGAAGTTCCAATTAGGAAATGAGCAGGTGTTAAGGGAGTAAGATCATTTGGATCGCTAGATAAAGGTGTTAAAGGGCGTGAATTGACACAAGCTTCTATTTGTACTAATAAAGTGTACATTTCATTGAAAGTTAATTTTGTATTTTGCACTCCAGCTTCCCATAGCCCTCCGAAATTTGGTGAATGAGGGGGGATGAAACTCCAAGTGATCCCTTGTGTAGCTAAAGTTGACAGGACTTGGCTGTTGTGATCATCTGAACACCACAAATGTTTCAACTCTTGTAGTTCCTTGTCCGCACCAACAAATGTTTTAGCATTATCCGAGTAAATTTTGTATGGTTTCCCTCTGCGAGATACAAACCGCCTTAAGGCAGCAAGGAACGAATTTGTCGTTAAATCCTCAACTAGTTCAAGGTGAATGGCCTTTGTAGTGAAACACACAAACAGAGAAACGTATGCTTTTGTAACCTTAGTCCTTTTGTTGTTGCTTGCATGTATATATACAGGTCCAAAATAATCTAATCCACAATGGGAGAATGGTCTTGAAGGTTGAACTCTGTTTTGAGGTAGTTGTCCCATTAGTTGATTGGTAGCCTTAGGTTTAGTCTTGAAGCATTTCAGGCATTTGTGAACCACACTTCTGACTAAACTTCTACCATTTAATGGCCAATAAGTTTCTCGAAGGGAACTCAATAAAAGTTGTGGTCCTGCATGTAGTATTTGAACATGTAGATCTTCTGCAATTAACCGTGTTAGCCTATGTTTGTGATCAAGAATAATTGGATGTTTATTATCAACACTTAAAGTTGAATGTTTCAGTCGACCACCTACTCTGATCAGCCCTTGGTCATCAAGAAAAGGATTTAGCTGTAAGAGTTTGCTTGATTTATCAACAGAATTGTTTTCCTTCAATGTTTTCAGTTCATGGGAGAATGATTGAGATTGAGCTAGTTTTATAAGAGAAAGTCTCGAATCATTTATTTCTGAACATGTAAGTGAACCTGTGAGACAATCCTTGGATTTTGTATTTTTATAAAACCTTAGACAATATGCTACAACTCGTACAAGTTTCTGCAATGATGAATACTTGCTAAATATATCATGACCATGAACCTTTAAAGAGACGGCTGTTACAGTATTTGCCTTACGCAATTCTAAAAGTGAGTTGACACTTGTATCAAGTCGAAAGTTTGAGCCTTCCTTCCAAAATTGATGTTCTCCAGATAACCATTGTGGTCCATTCCACTAGAGAGATGACGATAAGAGGGGTTGAACCAAAGAGCCGCGAGATATTAGGTCTGCAGGATTTTCAGTGCCAACAACATGATTCCAATGGCTTATGTTTGTTAGGGATTGAATTGTTGAGATTCTGTTTGCAACAAATGTACTGTAATGAGACGATGGGGAATTGATCCAAGAAAGAACAACAGTAGAGTCAGAATAATAATAAACATTATTAGTATCAATGTTCAATGCTTTGATGAGAACTTGGGCTAATTGACTTAGTAGCAAAGCGCCACAAAGCTCCAATCTTGGAATTGAAGTCACCTTCAATGGAGCAACACGAGACTTTGATGAAATTAACGTCACATTTGTTTCTCCTTTTACATCTTGACACCTAAGATAAACACAAGCTCCATAAGCAGCCATGGATCCATCACAAAATCCATGAAGTTCTACAGTTGCAGGTTCATTGGATGACAATACATATCTGTTTATTGATAGTTTGTTCAAATTAGTTAATGATGCATGAAACTCAAGCCATCGATTATTCAAATGCGAGGGAAGTTTGTCATTCCAATCTAAGTTTTCCTTCCACAGTTGTTGCATTATAAGTTTAGCTAAGAGAATGACAGGTCCAATTAATCCCAAAGGATCAAATATCTTGGCTATTTCCGACAGAACTTGACGTTTTGTAATGTTTTGTGTTTGAGTATCTTGTGATAGTGAATATTTGAATACATCATGAGCGGTATCCCACATTAGACCCAGTGTTTTGACTATTGAGTTGTTTATGTCTAAATTGTGTTCAGGATGAGCTTCAATATCTGATTCAGGAACGTTCTTTAGTAAATCAACATGATTTGATGACCACTTTCTTAAATGAAAACCACCCTTGGATAGCAGTTCTATAAGATCACTTTGAAGACGTAGTGCTGATTCGATTGTATGTGCTCCACTTAGAACATCATCGACATAGAAATCACTGTGCAATGTTTTGCACGCGATTGGAAAAATTGAAACTTCATCTAGTGCAAGTTGTTGGAGTGTTCGGGTTGCTAGATATGGAGCGCTTTTGGTTCCATAAGTGACTGTCTTTAGTTGAAAGACCTTAATTGGTTCAGAAGTGTGTGATCTCCACAAAATGGATTGAAGGCTGTGTTGAGAGGGATCGATTTGTATCTGACGATACATTTTCTCAATGTCAGCTGTGAAGACGTATTTATGCATTCTGAATCGGGAAATAATAGAAAATAGTTCATCTTGTACTCTGGGGCCATTCATTGAAACATCATTAAGTGAAAGACCAGTTGAAGATTTAGCAGAAGCGTCAAAAACAACACGTAATTTTGTTGTGGTAGATGATTCCTTAATAACAGCATGGTGTGGAATAAAATATGATTGTGATAAACTTTTATGAGGCATGCTAGCTGAACTGAGTTCCCCAATACATTGCATGTGACCTAGCCTTTCATATTCACTCATAAAATCCCTGTAGTCATTGTACAACTTAAAGTTTTTGGCAAGTCTGTTTTCAAGAGTAGCAAACCGTTTGAAAGCGATTTGTTTGTTATCACCTAGATCGGAAACAGTATCCTTTAAAGGAATCTTTACGACGTATCTACCGCTTGTGTCGCGCATGGTTGTAGATTCATAATGTTCTTCACAAAGAAGATCCTCCCCAGTTAACGTGGATTGAGATTGATAATCTTCTAATTCCCAGAAACGTTGAATATTACTGTTTAACAAGTCTAGAGATGATACAAAGCATGTATGATTGTCGTCAGAAACGTGTTTTCTTACTTCTACATTCCCTGTGACTAACCATCCTAATTTAGTTTCCCTAAGAGATGGACCATTGACTGATAACTGTAATGTTTTGTCACCAAGAACGTCCCAAAACGCTTGAGCCCCTAGGATCATGTCTATTTTTGATGGGTTATAATAATAAGGATCTGCAAGAGCGACATCAGGGGGAATCTGAGTTGAATGATTGAATAAAACACTCCCTGGTAACTTTTCTGTAAGTTTGGGAAGAATTAGAAAGTCCATTTGTGTAGTGAATTCAGAATTTCTAGAATTGACTGTAACATTTACGACATGATTGACAGAAGTTGTATTACAATTAATGCCTGTTATTGAAACTGAAGCCTGTCTTTTGTTTACTTGTAATCGCTTACAGAGTGATTCTGAAATGAAGTTTGATTGTGATCCACAATCAAGTAATGCCTTACATGAAACAATCTTACCTCTAGGACTGATGACATCAACAATAGCTGTAGAAAGGATAGTCTGAGTTGGTCTGCTAGAGGATTGATCATTGGCTGATGCGCCTACAGAAATAACCTGTTTATTATCCCCAGTGAATAACTGTTTGTTATCTGAGTGTGGTTGACTGTTCTTACCACAACTGTCTTTAGGAATTGATACTGACTTAAGGCAAAGTAAAGTGTTGTGTCTTTTTCCACAAGATTTGCAAACACTCTTACTTTTACACTGATTAGTTTTGTGAAATTTCAGACAGTTGTTACACAAATTTAAGCTTCTTACCTTGTTTATTCTATCAGGTATTGCTAGGTTGTGAAATTGTTCACATTGAAATAAAAAATGTGAGGACTGGCACAGTTCACATTTAGGTTCTGAAGATGACAAGCATGGCTGTCGTGATGACCATGACTTGTTTTGAAACCCAGAAGCAGAAGTAGGTTTATGTTTGACAAAGTTAACATCATTATGTTTAGGAAGTGGAGCAACTAAAGGCTTACTGTTATTGTAATGAATAGAGTCTAGTATATGAAACCTATGATTTAAGAAATCATTTAGGTCTTGCATTGTTGGAAAGCTATTAGGCTTAAGATTATCTTGCCAATTCCTGAATGTGACAGGATCAAATTTGGAAGAAATCAAATGAATAAGTAGAGTATCCCATTTGTCAGTGGGTTCTCCAAGTGCATTCAATGCACGAATGTGCTTGTTGGAACTGTTGATCAGCTCTCTTAAAGATTGGACAGATTCTTTTTCTAACTTTGGTAGATTGAACAGAGAGTGAACATGTTTTTGAACTATTAATGTTTTGTTGTTATACCTCTCTTGAATGAGGTTCCAAGCTACTGCATAGTTAGTGGAAGTTAACTCCAAAGATGAAATTACGTCAAAAGCTTCCTTTTTCAAACAAGATTTAAGGTAGTGCAATTTTTCAACGTCTGTTAGAGATTCATTGTTATGGATCATCACCGAAAACATATCAGAAAACGGAAACCAATCGTCAAAAGATCCATCAAAGGATGGCAGATTTAATACCGGTAGGTTTAGTTTAGGCCCTGAAACCTTGTCTGAAGTTTTCATTTGAATTGAAGTATTCTGATTGTTTGTAGTGAATGATTTGGCCTTACCTATTATTTTGTAGTATGCCGATTCAAAGGTTTCCCTTTCTACCTGTTGGGCATCCTCGTCATCCTCCAGTTCGATGTCCTGTTGGATGAAGTCAAATTTGTCAAGAAGTGTCTCTGCCTTGGGAAGCCTGACGCATAGTTCATTCAAAAATCCGGGAGAATCAATGGAATTTTCCAAGAAATGTTCAAATCTTGTTAATTGTGCCTTGATTGTGCTTCTTTTCTTTATTAATGCGTCCATTTTGTCTTGGAAAAGTGCTAGTTGCAAGCTCTGTAATTTTGTCAGTTTGTTGATTGAAAAATGAAAAAAAATACTTTACTGAAAATAATAAAAACTGTAATGAATCATACTGGATTAAAATCCGGCTCGTTTTGACCAAAATGTAAAGTGAAATTGAATTGAATTGTAAAATAAAAGATAGAAAATATCTAGTACATGTTTATTGAAAGTAGCAGTGGACTGTAATCATTATAAGTTTGTTTTTAAAATATGTATAAACAAACAAAACATATGATTTGAATCACACATTGATAAATATAGTCTTTTTGAGAAATAATTGTATATAGGCTATGTAAATTATGTGTTTTTACACAGAAACACTTGTAGCTGTTAGGTGATATTTATTATCAATAATTTCTGAGCATTCTATTCAGTAGTGATGGTCAAAACCAGAAATTTTGAATCTCGAAACCAACACCGAAACTTAAAAATTCAAATCTCGAATCTCAAAACCTAGAGGGGAAACTTTTTAGTTACCTGGTCAAGCTTGCTATAAATACCTAATGATAACATTTTCATTATGATTATACGATCAAAACTGAAAGAAATTGACTCCTGTCCTCCTGATCCAGACATAAAATATAAAATAAAATGTGAAAGATAAACTTCAAACCCTAAAAAACATAACTTTTTATAAACAACTAAAATGAAAATAAATTAAACTTCTGATGGTAACATAAAAACATGAATATTAGATTAATAAGAACATTTAGTGGTAAATATTTCTTTGTGTTTAATAAATATCGATATGAAACAATGACAAAACTGTACATATTTTATTTTCTTTGAAAAATGTGATAGATATTAACTGTGATGAAGATTTATTTAAACCTGTTAATTTACTAGGTATCTATTTAGATAGTAAACTCTCATGGGATGTACATGTAAATAGTCTATGTAAAAAGCTGTCTAGAGTAGTGTGTCTACTGCGAAAACTGAAAACATGTGTCAGTGAAGATGTGTTGCTTATGACCTACTTTGGTCTATTCCACACACATCTATTGTATGGAATAAAGCTCTGGGGCAATTCGCCCTCTGCCATAGATGCTTTCACATGGCAGAAAAAGGCTCTCAGAGTTATGGCTGGGCTAGATTCTTCAGACTCTTGTAGAACAATTTTTCCACTATTTAATATAATGACCCTTGCTTGTATTTACATCCACAGCAATCTTATTTTTGTTAAATCTAATTTAGAAACTTTTAATCAACAGTTATCAGTTCATGATCATGACACAAGAAATAGAGGTAATCTTGTTAAACCTAATATTAGATTGCACAAGTACTTTAAGAGCCATAAATACCAACAACTGTTGTTCTTCAATAAACTGCCAGAGATTGTGAGGCTGTTGCCTATTAAGAAATTTAATGGTGTGATTACAAAATGGTTAAAAAGTAAGGCTTTCTACACTGTAGATGAATTTTTAGACGCTAAGACTGATTGTATTATAGACTGACTGTGATGTATTTTTGCACTGACGATGCCTATTGTAACTTTCTGTTATTTAATGGCAAATAAATATTCTTGATTCTTGAAACTGAATTGAAATTTGTTCTACTATTCAAGATGCCTTTTGCAGTTCAGAATAGAATTTACTTGTTTGATTAGTGTTAATGGAGATATGTTTGCTCCATCGCTACCAGCTTGTGTGTTAACTATGTTATAAACAATTATAATGACACAAAAAATGTCAGCAGTTTCAAAAATAAAAGTGCCGAAATTTTCAATTTTGAAACTTATCTCGAAAATCACTGATCTAATCTCAAAACCGAAACTTTTCCAAAGTTTTAATGGTTTTGATATTTGAGATTCAGTTTTCACAAATCACTACTAGACAGTAAAGAATAATTCATTTTATTTCACTGTAGCTGTGTGGCTGAAATATTTCATACGACAAAATTATATCATGTTACAATTGAATATTTCTCTTTAAAACTTTAACTAGAACGTTTAAAAGACTCAAAGGAGAACTTAAGCCCCGATCTATGTTGGCCCTGAAATTGGATCGTGTAAAAACACATGCTCCTGGTCATGATTTGGCTTGAGATCGGGTAGGGAGGTCGGGAAGGATTTTCATCCGATTTAGGGAGGAAGGGTGGGGATAGTGCACATCCGGTGGGAGCTGATGATAATTCCTAAGCTCTACACCAGGCAAATCTCTCAGTCCAACCTTGATATGAATGCCTGAGTTTTCTTTTAAGTTTTGTGTGTGGTTTTAAGATGACGGAATCTACTTCACAGGAGGAAAGAGACGTTTTGACATAAATTATCGAAGTGTACTAATCTTACAGACTGTTGCGGGACACTTCTCAAGCTTTATATTTTCAACCATTACAACTTCAACTTAAGCACCACTTCAAACACCAACCAAGGTTGTCTTTATGCTGATGACACCAATTTGAAAATCACTGCATCAACCGTTGCTGAATTAGAAATTAAAATTAATTCCGACCTAACTCTCTTAAAAAAATTTTTTAATGCCAACAATTTGCTTTTAAATCCTGAAAAAACTAATATTATTTGTTTTAAAACTCGATCAGATCAAAATATAACTCAACCTAATGTTACCATATTTGATAAAAAAATTGAGGTTAAAGACAGCATAAAATTTTTAGGATTAGAAATAGAAAGTACACTTAAATGGAACCGTCATGTTGAACAATTACTCACCAAAATTTCTTCTGGCCTTTATGCATTGGTTAGGTTGAAAAATTTTTGTGAAAAAGAATCTCTAAAAGTTGTTTATTTCTCTTACATCCATTCAGTGATATCATTTGGGCTAGGGCCTATCTCTTTATGGTGCAACTACTAAAGAAAACTTAAACTCTATCTTGATAATGCAAAAAAAGCCATTAGAATTATTCGTAATTTACAACCCAGAACTTCAGTTAAAGATTATTTTAAATTAGAAAACATAATGACTGTTTATGGAATGTATGTTTTTGAAACAGTTTTATCCATAAAAAATAGATTTCAGGAATTGGAGCTAATCGGTAACAATCATGAATATAACACCAGAAATCGGGGCTGTATCGCAATGAGCTATCACACTCTGGAACTTTTCAAAAAGAAACCTAAATATGCTGGTTCAAAATTTTATAACAAAATTCCAAAAAGCATAACAGATGAGGTGTCAACCAAAAAATTCAAAATTAAATTGAAGCAGTACCTCATCAGCAAAGCTATATATTCTTTCGATGAGTTGTAGGAGGTAATGTCAATTTTTGAATATATTGTTAATTCTAAGATACCTTTGTTTTTCATTTTTCAATACCTGTATATTTTGACACTATTTATGTATGTATTGTATACTACTAACAAATAAAGATTATTTGAATTTGAATTTGAAACAACTCCCAAAAAATAACTTCCTAAAAAGACGACGTTCTCCAACGAAGGAAAGCAACGCACTGAGCTCAGATCCGAACGTGCGCTGAGAATGGGTCGTGTAAACACAACGCTCTGTCGACCAGGTGACAGAGCGGTCGTGACCAGGAACGGGAAAGGGCGGTCGAGGTCGGGTCGTGTAAACTTTAACATTTTCATCGAAATAGAAAACCTCAAAATAGAAAAGAAAATCTACAAAGTTGCAAATACATTAAAATAATTACAGAACTAATTTTACTAAAATACAGGAATTAAGTGTAGCTGGAATTAGATATGTGTAGCTATCTCCTCCTATTCATCTATCTCAGTCCCATACTAAAGATAAAGATTAAATTAAGCCTAACGATACAACTATGCCAACTCCTACTGTAGTTTTCCAAACAAAAAAACATAAATTTAATTCTTTATTAGATACCGCATACTGATAATCATGTTAGTGGATGAATTGTTGAACACAGTCAATTTCATTTAACAAGACAAGATCCCTTAACTGTGTGCAGCACAAACTTACTGATATTGGTTCAATCTTCTCCTCTTTGCGGCCGGCCCCTCTCCCTTGTCAGGCGTGGGTCTCATGGTTATCTTGGATAATTGAGACGCAGCACTCTGTACCCTCTCTTGTGACTGCAATCATAGGGTGAGAATAGAGTTATGAAAACAATAGAAAATCATATCATCATTTGAAACGATTTACTAGACAGATAGACAAGCAGACTTTGCTTGGATTAGAGTAGTTTATAGGATTGTGTATTTTTTACATTTTCATTTCAATTACTCACCAGGTTTTCAGAGCTACTCAGGCTAATTTTCTTCTGCAAATGAGCCTGGATCTTGTCAATCGGGAAGAAACTAGCACCAACCGGATTCCTGTAATAAGGTGGGGAGTTAATTAATATACATACAGTATCAGGAAAATGAATTTTAAAATATTATAAATACTTTAAAAAAGTCGCTTTACTTTTTATCCTACCCTTCTCATTACAAGGGTATTCACATACATTGAGTACCATTAGATATATAGCTTTAAGTTACCTATTAAAATTAGATAGAGATAGCAATACATTTGAGTTTTAATTATCCAACCCTGTTAGTTTGGTCTCAAGGTCTGATAAGTGAAAAGGTATGTTGACACGGATAATATTTAAACTAGAGATGGACCAGAGTGGATTTTAAGTTAGGGACGGGATTCTTTTTTCCATCATAATTTAAGACGAGATTATAGATCTCATTACTATCGGTAATTATTAGTTTGCACAGTTTTACAATGGTTTGTAAATAACAATAGAAAACCATTAAAACAACAACTACTGTAAAGTACAATACTAAAACTACAAAGGTTTATACAAAAGAGTGTACAACAAAACAAAAACTTACAAGCACTTAAATAGTTATGAAAATCTTAAATAAGAGAAAAAAATAATACATAATGTAAAACTTTAACATGCACACCAGAACTAATTGGAAACTGGAACACAACAATAACAGTCTATAAGAAACAAAACAAAATTGTAGTTTTTACGGTGTTACTTCTGATCTCAGTGATAATGATATCATATTCAGTAAAACTTATTACATCCGGGATGGATGGGACCAGGGTCATAACAGATAATCAAATGACCAAATAAACCAATTTTGAAATGTACACAGTTAAAAAAACGTCTCCAGAAAGCCTCTGCAATAGCCGTAACAGGTTTTGTTGCATTTCCTTTGAGTAGGCAATCATTTTTTTTTATTCTTTTTATGATCTCGTCTTGAAAAAGTCTTGGAGCAATGTCAATTTTGCTCGAAATTTCTCAAAAATTAGAGACCGGTCCATCCCTAATTTAAACCCTTCTTAAATCATTAATTAAATGCTTAAGGTTTGCATTTCATTGAAAACAGTAACATTCTCTTGTTTTCAAAGCATCATCCCATACAACAAACTAAAGGCCTACCGCTGGTAAAACCGAAGATCGGATAATCGATACTGGGAAAGTATTCTCTGAATGATTAAATTGGAAAACTTTGTTATCTTCAATTCAAAGTTATACTAATAAGTTATACGCTACACGCCTTTAAATGGTATTCCCGATTAATATAAGTACTTCTTAAGATCACACCTACATTATAAGTTCCTATTCTAATTAAAACCTACTTAGCAGCTTCCTCCTTGAATATGGTGCTGAATGGTGTGTCTTCATCGGCGTGTCTAGTCCTGATGGAATGAAGGAAGAGCAGACGGTCGCGCCGTGCAGGGTTGGGCGGATGTTGGTGGTCGACAGATTTGTCCACCAGGTGAATGGCGGCTCCGTCATGTCGAGCCATGCGAGCCATAACCTTGCAATCACCATGGTAGCACTGAAGCCACCTAAACGTACATTTCATTATGAAAAAAGGATTTATTTTGCAATTTGTAATAAATTTCTAGCAAGACCTTAGAAATAATCCTAAACAATTGTGGGTGAAAAGTATTGAAGTAACAGGTTTATTTGTAGTCAGGAAGTCTTCAGTACCAACTTAAGATAAGAACAATAACTATAAGTGTGCATTTTGAAATTTGAAATTAAAAAATTCTTTATTGCTCAATATACAAAGTAAAGTAAAGTTATAACTTACTTAGTTACTTACTTAGTTAATTTTGTAAAGTTTATCAAGAATCAGTAAGACCTCTTCATAGACTTCTTTCCAGTCAAATATTATATTTTATACATATACAAATCAAAAAAGTATAAAATAAGAGGAACAAAACAAACTGAATACAGGTGGCACTGGAGAGAAGAAGAAACATCCTGATTCAGTCAGTTTTATATCTTGTCAGTGGCAGTGATAAGACAGTACTCGCCAGCCAGCATAGTTTAAATCAGTTTTATAAATTTGTATTCCATTTAAATAATGTTATCAACATGACAAGTTTAATCATTTTATTATGACAGTCTTAAAGAATCTATTGACATACCACAATGTATTAATACATTAATGATGTGGTTGCATACAGAATGACATGAGGATGTTCCAAGGAATGAAACTAGTCGTGATACCAACAACTGCGGTTGGATAAGGTAATCATTTGATTTTATCAGTATTTTCTATATTATTAAAATGTGTAATAAATAGTCATAAGAATAAACCAGAGCAATCAGGATGGCAATCACAATATGAAAAACGACCAACTGAAACTACAATTTAGTTCTGAATTTTGAATGCCTAAACATTTTGATCCTTCAATTACTCCAGTTGCAAACCAAAGACCATCCAAAGAAGTTACACAAAGACTATGGTAACTTCTAAAATTTATTGGTAATGGTTAAATTATGCAAAAAATGTTGAGAAAACAGGGGAACCACCGTACAAGCACATTTGTAGAAATCAAAGAAATAAAATACAATGCAAAATGGAGTACTAAATTCATCCACTCGGGTTAGTTACCTGCACTTAACATCCTCATAGATTTGAGTGTAGTAGAACCCCACACCGTCGTAGTACAGAGTCTGATCTTTGGGTCCCGGCAACACCTCTGACTTCGGATAGCCCTGAAATGTAAAACACTATTAGATAGTTTTACATTCATGATCAGATCTAGAAGCAATGCGTCGACAAGTGTGTTTCGTGCAGTGTTAGGCCTATCCTTCTCAGTCAAAATATTACTTTTAGATTAGCTCAGTGTTAACCCATGTTATCAGAGAAGCAGGCTAGTAGAGATGAACGTTATTTAAAGTGATAGGATAAATAATACTGTTACTTATGTGTCACCTATTACCCTGGTAATGGATTATTGAAAATACCCTATTTTTTTTAACATCCGAACTGGTCAAATAACTTTCCTCTGGCCGCGTTTTCCTATCAACAGCGAAATAATCGTGCTTTGGTAATAGATTACTGAGAATACAATTATTTTTGTAATGTCGTTAGCACTGTTAGACCGAGCAAGGGTTAACGCTGATCATGTCTTCCTAACAGCAAGCATCACAAAATAATTTAGTGCCTTTGTAAATAGATAACTACTGGTAAGCCTTTTCACTAAAAACCAATTTCACTAAAGAGAACTAAACCAAACCGTACACAATTATCGATAAGAAGCTCTCTGATTCTTACATTCTAGACCTTTGTACAGGGTGAGGCAGTGAAAGGGCACAATTTTGAAAAATCACAAATAATTCATTTAAAAAAAAATTATAGTTGTTTAACATAAATCCTAAGTACGGTACATGAGTGGAAATCAATGTTTCACCTTAAAAATAATTATTTTTAACAGTGTCAGTAAAATGCCGTACTTGGTTTTGCACACATTGTTGAATTATGAATTGAAATCACCCCATGACCTTTTTTAGCATTTTCAAAATGTTTACAATCGTTTTATACCTCTTTGTCGTACTAGCAGTGGCTTCAAAGTTATTCGCCTAAAAGAGGATGACTTTCCTTGATTGCGCGGGAGCCCTCGGCGATAGACTGAACTCACAATAGAAAGTGCGCTGAGTACAAACCACAATATCCATATTTTTGTGATATGCTTTTACAGCAACCGCGTGCACTCGTCCAATGCTCCATGGCTACTGTAATTTCTACTTGTTTAGACGCTTATGGTCATTTCCCCGTACTCAGTCTCCACTTCCTTGTCAGCTGGTACCGGAATTGTGCCGTTTCACTGCTTCACCCTGTATTTCTTCAATTTATGTAAATACACAAAATTAGTTCACCAAATAAAAAATACTCTCTGAAAGAAGTTTATTTAGCAGCACTGTACGATTTTTTACTGCTAATTTAAGATATCATAATACATTATTCATATTTTTCTATGACATTTCCCTAACGTGCTTCACCAAAGACAATTATTAACCTACTAAAATGTACAAAACATTTCCATACTGTACTGAAAATTAATATACCGTAATGAATCAATCATGGACTAGCCCAACTATTACTCAGTTAATTATATTCTGGTTAAGAAAACTTGAACAGAATTCATAAACAACTGTTGCTTTATTCAGCAACTAAAACAGTAGTAATTAACTATGTTGTTAAAACTGGTGAAGTGTTGCAGTCAAGTTAAAATCTGAATAATAAAAATTTGAGATTAAAGTGAATAATGGTTAGGACCAAAGGGAAATTTGAACACAAAACTGCTACAGGACTTGTGTAACACACTAATTACTTTTACGATAAAACTGCTATCATCAATATGTAATAGCTATCACTAACCTGCGATGGCAGTTCGTCTGCATCTTCACTATCATACTCTTCCTTGACCTCAACATCGAGGGGAAGATCTGGTGTTTCCTAGAACATTTTAAACCATGTCAGAAATATAAACTACAATATTGCACAATTAAAAGTAATATTCTACTAAGTCCACTTTAATAAATGGGACAGCTTAAATCTTCTGTGGTGAAAATTTTACACAAGTTAATTATTATAAAGTCAATATAATGTTATACACTTTATTGGTTTTCACCTAAAATAGTTCTGAGAGAAGACCGTCAAGGTTTGCAAAGTTTCGTTGGATATAATTTTTGTCACGATATTGTCTACTCTAGGGTATTTACATTAATTGAAAATTATATTTTGTCGCATAGCTCAAACGATGTAGTTACAGTAGAAGCCTGCCATTCTGAGCTAACCGGGAACAGGTCCTGTTATGATCAGCGGCAATTGGAATAGTCGGATTTCTGAATCAGCGATCATCATGATCGTGGAAGACTCTGTTCTCGATTTTGCCATGACTATGGAATATTGCTCTTGTTTCCTAAGCCTAAAGTGTTAACAAAATACAATAGTAGGCCCATTCAACGTTTGAAAAGTATAAACAAATTATCCCTTCATTTTTCCCTGTTTAAATCCAGTAGCGTTCATCCCCTACAAAATACAATAGTAGACCCATTTAACGTTTGAAAAGTATAAACAAATTATCCCTTCATTTTTCCCTGTTTAAATCCAGTAGCGTTCATCCCCTATCAGATGGTCACTGTAAATTTTTAGTTTAATTATTTTATAAAGATTATTATATATTTGTTTCTCATTAATTTAAAAGTTTATTCTCATAAGTCACCTAGAGAAAGAATGCCTTGGATAATGTGTGTGGATAAATATCTTGTCCGCAGACCCCTAGGTTTTAAAAAGTGAATAACAACTACCCAGTAAAAACTTCAGTTGCTCAAAATATTGATTACTCAAGTATTATATTTATTGAAAACTAAAAAAAATAAACCTTTTTAAAGCCTAATTGTAATAAACATTAAAATAAAATAAACACAAAACAACTTTGAACAACCCGGAAATCCTTGAATAATTTACAAGCAACTGTAAATCTCTGCATTAAGATTTGACACATGTTAGGTCCAGAAAAGCATTCTGCTCTGAGGAAAGGTGAAAAAATAAGACATTTGTCAGTAGGAGCATTACTTACTTGATCTCCGATAGGTTCAGCAGATGAGCTGGCTCTGAAAAGGTGAGAATATTTTATTGACAATACAATAGTCTAATAGAACAATATCCGACTATAAAAATATTTCAATTAAAAAAAGCACCGTTTAGTAACCCAAGCCAATATTAAGTATTCAGTGGCGGCGATTGGGCTTGAGAGGTGGGGGGGCGAAATCTAGATTTATTGTTGATATAATTCTATTTTATAATTTTGATAAAATATTCCTTATGAAAGTGGGGGGGCAACTGCCCCCCCTGGCCCCCCCTAAACGCCGCCTCTGTAAGTATTAACTAGAGAACTTTTTTTTATGAATCTTTATGCTCAGTGGTTAAAGTGCTAATTTACAATAGACTTAACTTCGTTTTACAACCCCGAGAAGGATAAATTCTGGATGTTGCAACAAAACTATGTGCAAGAAAACCTGTTACAAATCATGTGAGGTATAAGTTCTTAAATAGGCTACAAACAATACCTGATTGTTTACATGTTATGTAAGAGCAGCATAAATTCAATAAATAAGTCTAATAAAACCCAATTAGACTTGTGAAACAACTAGGTATCCTTAGATTGAAAAAATGTATTTGGAAATGATTTTTTTTAAACTTGAATATTAAAATATCACAGTATTAGATATCCAATTAGGGGGCGCCACCTAAGTTTTAACCTAAATTAGGAGTGAAGGATGATTGTAGAATGAAGTGGGGTGGATTGTGTAGCTTTGTTACTGGCTAAGATCAGCTGTTTCATTAGTTAGGACCGTTTATTAAAAGCTTACAGTTTAAGGTCCAGTTTTCAACCATCAAAAAGCAACTAACCTTTCCCAGAGTCTAGCTGGCAACCATTAGATTACCAGGCTACCACTATAACCACTCAGTTTTATTATTTGGATACATATAAACATTTGTATAATTAAAGAATTTGAGCATCACCTAAAGAGATGTAGGTAATATTAAATAAAAACTGGTGTTTAACACGTTCGCTACTGCAATAGTACGAAATTTTCCATTCACATGGACCAGCGACGCACATATGCGACGGCCGGTTTCCACCCATAGACTGCTATCGCATATATGCGACGGCTAGTCACATTAAAATAGACTGCCGACGCATATTTGCGTCGGGGTTCTAATGTTATTAAAATGCTTATATCTTTGTAGTGGTCTATTTGAAGGCACAGAATTCCCTGCAGTGGTCTACAGAGATGTCTGACGCACAACTGCGTCGCTTGGTCTGTGGATATGATGACTGGTGAGTGGTGACGTCATATAATAGTTGGAAAAACTGGTCTTTACTTTTATGCATCACTGTATGTATGTATGCAGTATGCATGCTGCATTATCCTATGTAGCTTTTATATTTGTTCAGTTATAAACTGTTCTTGAATAATCTGTTTATTTTTTTACTTACTTTCACCTTAAAACACAAAAAATGAACTGTCGCATATATGCGAGGTTTAGTGTATTTCAAGAAAACTATGATAATTGTCACTATTGTTTTCGCTGTAGACCGGGCGTCGCAAATATGCGACATTACAAAAGGTTATAAAAAATACAAAAAACCAAGAATAATTTATTTACAAACACGATTGTAGCGTATTACAATGTAAATGATCACTGTTTTACAGGTTTTCGCCCGTGGTCTGTGTGTACTGTTATCCAAGTGACAGCCGGTCTATGTGTAAGATTCAAATGTATACCTCGGTCTATGGCAATGACCGCGGCGTCGCATATATGCGACGCTCAGTAGCGAACGTGTTAACGATAATTGCAATTCAATAAACTTTTAATACTTTAATTGGAGATGAGTGTAGGATGAGTGGCGCGATCTTGTAGTCTTTGTTTAGTAGCCTTTGTTCTTACAGTATTTATTGTAGTCTCCAATATTGTTTGCCACGTTGTGTGGCATCTTCAGGATGTTAGAGATGGTCTGTTTGAATTATGTACTATGTGTAAGTTACACAGATTCAACAATGTTTGTTGAGATGTCACGGTATCTTCCTGAAGATGCAGTAGGGCCACAGACATGGAGATGTCATGACATAAACTCAACAAACATTGAGCTGCATAAATCTGTGTAAGCTATGTAGTGTAGCTATATAATGTTAAGTAGGCTAAACATCTCTACAGCCTCCCTGACGATGCCACACACCGTAGCAAAATATTTTGGAGACGAAATAAAATCCTACAAGAACAAAGGTTACTGAACAAGATAATAAAATCACAACTAAGTTATGTGATGAGTAGCCTAAGCCATAGAAAACTTTGAAAGGCAGCCTTACATAGTATAAAATATGAGATATAATTATTGACATTGGTACATTGCCTATCATTGCTATTTACCTTGTATTTGGTGGACTGTCCATTTTATCTCTCTTCATTAGATTGGCTCGAAACCTTTTCTGTCGTTCTCTTCCTTGCACCTGCTTTTTCTCCATTTTCTCTTCTTTAACGCGTTCACGTTTAAGTGATTTCTTCAACACAGGTCCCATGACTTCTAAGCTGCAGTAGATGGAAATTAATTATTTTATTTACAAAACACGATTGAAAGTCTAAGTTATGGGGATTTTTAACCTAACTAAAATTGCTTGAAGTTCAAAATATAATGTGTCTAGGAGGATGACTTTGGAGAAAATAGCCTACTTTTTTTTAGAGATTAGGGCCTAAATCAGTACAGTATTTAACGTAAGTTAAATTACCTTCTATCTTGTAAATGTTTTCAGAATATATCATATTCATTTCACTACCAACAATTAAAGTAAGTTACCTCACAGCTACGGTTCAATAGGTTTGCTGTGTTGGTTTAGTTTTTATGATTTTGAGAAAATATGATTGCAAAATCACCAAAAATGCCTTGCCACTACAGAGTTTGCCAATTGCCAGTTGGAGGGTTAAAATTGATCTTATTGAAATATTGGGATTATAGTAGAGTCCCGCAAACTCGGCGTAATGTGGACTGGAAGAGTGCAGAGTTTGTGAAATGCCGGGTTATCGGGAACTAGGGTTAAAAATAAGAACAATACAGTTTTTAAGCTTTTTAACTGCCTTTTTTATTTATACTTATATTACAAGTCAGTATTAAGTCATCAGATATAATACAACAAATCCTTAATCTACCAGTTGGTTGCGAATAATTTGACTTAAGCTGGCTTGAGTCCATGATTAACTAGCACTCAAAAATCACTAATTTTCTGAATCTATAGTTTCAATCGATATTAAGTTAGCATAGGCCTAGGCTTAGCCCAGTTAAGAAACTGTTCCCCAAATTGATAGCCTACTTTTTTCATCTAATAGGCCTAATCCAATGGAGTCAGATCAATTAGGCTGGTATCAGTTTTTCCACTTTGGCTATAAGTGATATAACTTGTTGCCTCTTATTCATAGCCTATCCTACAAAACGAAAGTAACCATATTTTATTGTACTTGGCATGCTAAGTCAGTGATTAGGCCTATTATGTTAAATAATGACAAGGTACATTAACTTAGTACCATCATATTAGCCTACTTACCGTACTCTTATGTTACTGTCTTACGTTTCTATGTGATTATAATTTCTTAATTTCTTCAAAACTTTAAAATATTTTTATGTCTAGGTCATTCCGCCGGTAAGAAAGATCAACAAAACAAAACAATATAAATATAACCAATGAATGCCATGAGACGCCATTATGAAAACTGCATTCAATCGAAAATCACTAACTCGACACTGTAAACGAGAAAATGCAGAATTAAAATCGAACTTACCTGTTGATTGACTATGCTGAATATTCACTTAAAACATCAATAGAGATATTTATGTAAATTTTAATAAATTATCCATTTTATTAGTTTCTCAACATAAGCGTAAAGCGACAACACTCACACACTGACAACAGGACAAGGACATGGACAACGACAACACAGTGAGAGTGAACACAGTTGCAGTAGCCTAGTAGCGGAAATACGTACTGGGCTGTGGCAGTGGCACGGCCGCCGCGGTTTTATTTACATAAGAAATAGCACTTTTTCGTCTAAGTTACAACTTTGCCTCAGCCCCCAAAATGAGGTATTTTGGGGGCAGCCCCAAACTTTCAAATGTAAACACCTATCATGTGACCCCTCATTTTAAGGGGTTTAAGAATTAAAGCTCAAGACAAAAACTAGAGGTCAATATCGCACCCCTAATCAAAATGACAATCATTTTGAAATATCCCCTATTAACTTTTTAACAGGTTATAAGCAGGAAAGATAAACTCAGCATACCTTTATAAAAAAAGAGAATTCACCTTTTGATCAGTATTAAAATGTAATTTTTTTTAAAGTTAACTGGGAGTTTCCAGTATTTATCTTCCTTGATAATCTTAAATAATTGAAATGGCTGCCATTTGGTTTAGGGGTTCAATATTGACCTCTGGTTTGCACCATTCAATTTCTCTTGATAAACCCTTTAAAATGAGGGGTCACATGATAGGTGTTTATATTTGAAATTTTGGGGCTGCCCCCGAAATATCCCATTTTGGGGGCTCGGGCAAATTTGTAACTTTGATGAAAAAGTGCAATTTCTTATGTTGTACATATGTGCCGAGTTTGGTTTCCCTACTGCAACGCGTTAAAAAGTTAACTGGGGGGTTCCAGACTTTTGCCTAACCCTGTATAAGAGGGAGTTTGTGCGTTAGAGTTTCTTTAAGCTGGGTTTTCCTTGGCACGGAAGTGGAGAGCGGAGAGAGGAACGCGGAGAACGGACTCCACTTGTCGATCTTAGGTAATTTAATGTTACTGTTTTCCTAGAAGTGGAGCGGAACACCATGTTAATCTCTTTTCCGCTCTCCACTTCCGTGCCTAGGAAAATCCAGCTTAAGACAAGTGGAGTCCGCTCTCCGCGTTCCTCTCTCCGCTTCCGCGCCTAGGAAAACCCGGCTTTAGGCAAAGATCCCAGTCACGAATGGCGAAGGGAGGGACGAGGGAAAGGGACTATTTATCAGGAACGGTTCCATCCAATCTGTTCCACAATCTACAGAGCGACACCATAGATAAAACATACTCCCTTAGTCTATGGCGACACTTAACGCAAATGTAACAGTTCAACAGTTGCGGTTCCAAAAATAGTAGGATTTATTACTGCGGGGAGACGATACTCGACGTTCTGTACCCACGAGCACCTTAGCTTCCACATGCACATAAGGCCTTGGAACAGCTCCTGGGATAACAGCTATTTGTTTAATAGCTTCACTGCATATTGGACCTGTTTAGATAGTTGTTTCAACAGTTGCAGTCGCGAACTGTGCATTGTGATTTTAAGGTGTTTATTCTTTACTGTTTCGTTTGTTTATTTTTGACTTGAGCTGCTTGAAAAGGTGTTTTATGTTTATGATTATGAAAATTAAAGTGTTGTGAGTGTGCTGAAGCTGATTATTTGTTATTAGGTACGGTATTGACAATAATTAAATATTTTGCGTGCATGAATTATTTGTTAAGTTACGTTCACTTAACCTATATTTTTCGGATTCCTCAAGAAAGGATTGTTGGTTAGGTTGAGTTGTGTTTGTGTATGAATTTGTTAGATTGGAGTTTTAGTAGTGGTAGGTCTAGGCATTGACTATTGGATGTATTAATAGTCAAAGGTCTAGGTTTATTTTGATTGTTAGTTGGGCCTTTCAGTGGAGTTTAGGTCTAAGTTATTGCCTTTAAAAAAGTTAAATTAATAACTTATCTATTTTTAAGAGTAGTCCTAAGTTTACCTTAGAGGTTAACTTAGACCTACCACTACCAAAACTGCAGTCTAACAAATTCACACACAAACAAACACCTAACCTAAGGGTGGACTATGTTTTAGGTTGGGTTAGGTTGGGAAAATTTTGTTATTTAAACTAATTAAAATCTTATTTGGAAGTCGATTTATCGGTGTGGTCGGTATAATACGTAAGTACCGATAATATTTTATAAATAAATACCCCCGCCGCAGCAAACCTGCCGACTAAGCGAATTTCCATTTGTCTGAATTGATTTTCAGTTAAATATATTTAAATAACATTAGGTTTAACCAGTACCTAGGTTTGCTGCTACAAGGAAACTAATAACGTGTATTTTTTAGTAAAATATTAATAGCTTAGTACAAAATAAATAAATTTGCCAAGTGTGATCAAAATATATCAATAAACAAGCAAACTACAACATTTTACAATATTCTCCATAAGAATAACATGGGAATGTTTAATTAAAAATTTTTTAAATTTTCTCCGTTACTAATAATCAAACAAAAATACTTTCATATACTAAATTATTTGTTTTTTTAAGCTCTTTAAAAAGGTCTAAAGAGAAATTGGGAAATTTTTGTGTTTTGAAGGTCAAAAATGAGAAAAACCAATTTTTCTCCATAAAACCCTGTTCCTATGGTCCCGAGCATGCTGGTTCGCGAACTCATTCAAGTTTATCCCGCCTTTAACACGTTTAAACCAAATGTTATTAAAGTCGGACAAAAATTACTCAAGTTATCACATTCACGGACACAAATATAAATATATATATACATAATATTTTGAACAGTTGGCGTTTTTGACCTCTGAGGACATCAAAATGAAAAAAGTAAATCGGTCCCGGGCCTAGGTCTTACTGTGCCACCTACGGTAATAGCTACTTCCCTATAGAAAAATTTGCTAAAAACAACTTATGTACAATAACTAGGTATTTATTACAAAGGTTGATACATAAAAGCTTACAAAAATAACAAAAGCTTACAGGAACTTAAGTAATACATCTTTAATGTAAAACCAAAACTTTACAACATGTACACCCCAACTAAAAATACTGTATCACAAAGAAAAATTATTTTAGTAGCTTGTACGGTGTTATTTTATTTCTGATCTTAGTGATATGATCAGATATGATCTTAGTGATATGATAGTACTAAAACCTATTATATCCAGTACAGACGGGACTAGGGTCATAATGGATAAACGAATTACCAGATAAACCAATTTTTCAGATGTACACAGTTAATAAACTCCTTCAGAAAGTCTGTGCAATACCCGCAATATAGGAGCGTGTTGATGTTGCGTTTCCTTCTAGAAGGCGTTCTTTTTTTATATAATCTTGTCTTGAAAAAGTCAATCTCGCTCGAACTAATGAGATTTTTTGAATCTCGAAAGTTGAGGTTGAGACCCGTCCATCCCTAGTGTACTTTGAGTGAAGGTATTCTTTAGATCCTACAGTAACTCTAAAATGGAGTAAAATACCTACTGACTAAGATTGGCTGTTTCTGTAGCCAGGACTGTTTATTTAACACCCAACAGCAAGGTCCAGATTGAAAATATAGAAAAGTTTTCTGACTTAGCTCACGATCGAACCGGCAACCACTATAACCACTCAGCTACACACTCTCTAGATCATTACTATTTGCAAAAGATCACAGATGATAAACGGTAACTGTTTGACACCCTGATAATGAATCCCGATAACAGATAATGGATTTTAGTCAGTGGATTACATCATAGTGACCAATATTGATTTACCACATTTACATTTATCCATGATAATTTTATTTTTTGTAATTTTTCTAAATACCTTTGTTTACAGTGGTGACAGCTTGCATGGATCCCGGTCGTGACTCCATCATATACAGAATGACAAGTACTCGTATGAAGAAAGACAATTAAACTACTTCAGAACTGTTGTGTTAATTTACAATTAGATCGTCTGGTACTTAAGAGTCGTAGGCAGTATTTTTATTTGTAAATATAAACACGTAACATAGATCAACTTGTACCATTCCATGTTGTAAATGTTGTTATGAATCACAGATTAAATAGCTGTCAAAGTTAGGGTGTTGGCTGTAAATAAAATGGTGTCATTTTCATTTTGACGTGATGTTATCTGCTAATGTAATTTGTTTGTACAGTAAAATTTGAATATGTACCTAGTTGTTTAAACTCAAAGTACTGTAATTTTATTTCAATTCTCGGTTGTTTGTTTTTAACACTCTTTAAAATAAAGACAAGTGTGTATCCCTCATGTGTTCCTGTTTGTCCATTTGCTTTATCATTTACTACTCTTGTCTAAATCCTTAAACTTGTTATATTATTTAATTGGACTTTTCCAACGTGTCTTGTTTTAAACTACACAACGTTTCTGGAGGTGGATAAACTCCTCACGTTATCAAGTGAAGAAGTACTAATGCTACATTAATCTAAATTGGCCCTCAAAAGGTGGCCAATCTCAAAAAAATTCTTGCTGAAGAAACAAATATTTACAACATATATACAACAATAAAAATATCAAGTGCATAATGAAACAAGAATTGAAAAATATAAAACGCTGGAAAGAAAAACTGATAATACATTGCTATACTTACAATCTTACAGATAAAAACAAAACATTGAACTGATACTACACTCCCCCACCAAGCTAGCCGGCCGGAAACCAACAACCAACAACGTCACAGAGGCAAGGCCAGCACAGTTGAGTCCCGCAAACTCGGCACTCGATAACCCGGCAGTCTGGATAACTCGGCCATCACCTGGCTCAGAAAATTAGTGATATTTTGAGTCCGAGTTAAACATGGACTCAAGCCAGCTCAAGTAAAATCATTCACAACTCGTACCAAGGATTTTTTGTACTATATCTGATGACTTAATACTGACTTGTAATATAAAAAAGGAGGTTAAAAAGCTTAAAAATTGTATTGTCCTTATTTTTAACTCTAGTTCCTGATAATCTGGCATTTCACAAACTCGGCACCCTTCCAGTCCACATTACGCCGAGTTTGTGGGACTCTACTGTACTCCTTAAACTTGAACTTACTATGAAAAATAAAGCGTAGACTGGAAAAACGTTAAAGGTTAAAAAATGTAATACAGGGGAGAAGAAAGTGAAAGAGGATGTGACATAATGCAGTCAGGGTGTTTACCAGTCGGGAAATTTGGGATAAATCCGGAGATTTTGAAAGGACGGGAAAAGTCGTGAAAAAGTAATGAATTTCGGCCGAGAGTCGGGATAATCTAACCCTTCAAAATTAGGGATGAACGGGTCCCAAAACTATAAACAAATTTCTGGATAGTGTATTCCCAATCATTGGGACGGGATTACATTTGAGGGGTGTGGGATGCATCGGAATTCTAATTCGATTCAGTGATTATCACAATAACGATTCGATTCATGGGGGAAACATTATCCATATACGTTTTTGAATCCGTATCCATAAACGTTATTGCGCAAGACGATGACGACATTTCCCTGGCCACGGGAGACGATGATCAAGTCTACACAGTCGGAAAATGTTTATAATTTTGACGTGATTTTGGACGACGACGATGATGTTTCCTTGACGGCGGGAATCAATTTTGCCATGATCGCGGAATTTGACGGTCACATTTCCGTGACTGCGAAAGACGATAATGATGACGACATCTACACGGCCAGGGTAGATGTTCATGATAATTACTTTGAGTATGGCTTGAGATACAGGCCAGCACACCTCTATCATATAATTTTCTTTTTGATTTTTGTTGTTAGATATTCATTTATCTTTAATGTGGTAGTTTTTATTGTGTTTAGAAGGGTTTAACTAGTGATGGTCGGATCCGGATATCGGACTACCGGATCCGCCGGATCTGAGCTAGAACAAACACCCGATCAGATCCAGGGCTGGATCCGGGCTTTTTTTTAATTTTCTTAACAAAACGTTCTTTATAAAGTACAATTCATACATAAGACTATTAGTGTCGATATGCAAGACTATCAGTGTCCATATACAAGACTGTCAGTGTCAATATACAAGACTATCTGTGTCCATGTCAGTGGCAGATCCAGAGGGGGGGCGAAGGGGTGACTGCCCCCCCCCCTCGGGCATACATACCTATATAATTTTTACTGCATTTAATACAGTAGTGCATACACATTGTGTAAAATAATTTGTCACACTAAATTTGGACAAAGAAATGGTATAAAACTGCCATTTAGGAGACTTAGTTTGCACAAATTTTTCAGTCCCCCCCCCCCTTGTGACTGTTCTAGATCCGCCACTGGTCCATTTTGTACAAGACTAACAGTGTCGAAATACAAGACTATCTGTGCCCATATACAAGAAAGTATATGGACAGTATTTTGTCAGTGTCAATATACAAGACTAACAGTGTCCTAATACAAGACTTGTATCCTTATGTCAGTGATCTTATTACATCAACCTTTAAACATTACCAATTTAATTTAAACAGTATGATTTAAATTGGATTTCTGTAAGTATTAGGTTTTATTAAACCCCGTCCTTAACTCTGTATCTGGATCCGGATCCGGTACCGACATTTTATTGGATCCGCCCATCACTAGTTTAAACTTAAATTGGCTAGTTGGAATGTATCATTGCTGGATAATGTTTTTCTTTACTTGAAAAACACCCCAACACCTTAAACACCTTATGTCCTTTCATTAAGTATTTAATGAAAGGACATAAACACTGGGGTTGGTTTAATATAACCAATCCATTTGGAAAATTTGTTATAAAAATCAAAGAAATGGTATCAGTATCAAGAATTGACTTTTCAGGTATCGGTATCTTGATAAATTTTGGTATGGACACATCACTCACTACTATTCATAATACGTTATTGAATCCGTATCCATATATGTTTTTGAATCTGTATCCATATACGTTATTGAAACCATATCCATAAACTTATACCTTATTGATTCCGTATCCATATACAGGGTGTCTCAAATTGATTACGGATAAACGGCTTAACGTACAAAGATGAAATAAAATTATTTCCTTACTGGGAAATATTGAAAATTGACCCCAAGGAATAACGTAAAACTATTTTTAACTTTTTCCCAATGTGTGCCAAAAACTAGGTCACTAGTTCGAATCTCGGAATTTTCAAATGCAAACATATGTCATGTTATACATCATTTAAAGGTATTTGATAGACAAACATTTTGGCGAAAACAGAAATTAATTATCTTTTTCTGTTTCAAAATGGCGGCAGTCATTTAGCCCTTCTCCGGTTGAATTTTCTTACTCGTTATGAAATTATTTTTACTTTGATATGCCACAAGTAACGGTTTTTTTTTTAACTGATAAAAATATTATATGTGTGACTGAATAAATATGTCGATGAGATTCGACTTACAACCTACACAGATCCCTCCAGGTCAATACTGTGATGCAGCGCCAGCACAGGGTCGTGTACAGGTGCCGGTACATCTTGTAGTGCCACATCGCCTCCAGACAAGGCCAGCAACTCTACGGTTGTTGTTCCTCGGCTGTGGCTTCTACGAAGAACCGAGCGTAGCCAGGCAGCGTAACATCGAGCCGACTCAAACATGTGCGCTTTAACATGAGTGGTCATTATGAAACTAGGTAGGATTCGTCTCTGGGAGATGGTCACGTCATTGAACTGGCAAAAGTCTGGGAGATATTTCAGATGTATTACAGCAATAAATTTTACTCAAGTTAAACTGTCCAGTTAAGATGAATTCAGTCTTAAGTCAAGTTAAGTTAAGCTTGGCCCTAAGATAAATACTTTGCTGCAACCTTCAACGCATCCAAGATGTCAGACAGTATTTTCGCCTTTTCAATGTAATGTGCTAAAATTATTTTTCAGATTTTTCTGGCTTGACACTTAAGTTATAGTTTTAACTATCTGCAATTTTTATTGTTTGGGCTGTGATGAGACCGATTGTGTGGATTGTTGAACATACGTTTGGTGTAGTAAAGATGGAAAATACCAAAACTATGTGTATATTTATTTGTAAAGTTATGCGAAAAAACGTTTCAAATCTTGAGTCCAGCTTTGGCTTAACAAGAGTAGTGCCGTAATTAACTATTTAAATTGAGTTTACCCCTCGTACACTCAGTGCTATTATATAGTAATAGATAGTGTTCATTCTCAACTAGAACTTCCCAAGCAAAAGTATGTATAACTGGCCTGAAGCTAGAGGTTTATCAATTATTAAGTCCTTCACACTCGTGAAAGTTATGTCGACTCGACTCATCACTTCTTTAAAAGATGTTGTGTTATGACAGTAATTTACGTTTGGAAACCTAAAAAGTATAAACCATTTTAATAATTGTGATGAACACTTGACTTTCTGTAATTTTTTTTATATTCAGTGTGAAGAATAATGATGAATACACAGTCAGAAAATATAACCTAAACGAATATTATATGTTTTAATATTATTTTGTTTCATGAAATATATGATTACACTAGCGGCCACGAGAGTCTGCAGTTGGCGGCAGCCAATACCAATACTGGTCATCACCCGTTCACTACTTTTCGACACTAATAAAAATATACTAAACAATATTTTCAAATCAGCTTGTATTATTAGATTTGGGATTTGGCAACACTGCACTGTCCTCATTGTCTCCTTCAAAGTCGTGTGGTAAATAGGCTCCTCCCTTAACTGCAGACTCTTGTGAACCATACTGTAATGAATTTAGTGTTTATAATTTTTCAATGTGTTTTATCTTAGACCATCATGATACAGTTTTGTCATATTAATTTCAAAATCATAATTATTAAACATTCTTGTTATGCAACAAAAATACCAATAAAACTAGATGAGAACTCCTGTCAAACTGTTGATTTTAACTGTTGTTAAAATAAAAAAAAGATCAAGTTAGGTATACTAAAAATAATATTGCATTTAAAAATAATATTCTGCTTTCTTGAACCTAATCCAATAAGGAGCGGCTCCAGGAATAATTTTTTGGGTAGGCCTGACAAGGATCAAGAAGGAGTTTGATCGGGGGACGAAAGGTTTGAGGGGCTTCCCTGCAAAAAGCGAAGAATTTTAAAATTTAAATGCAAAATAATGAGTTTGAATGATTTTCTTTTATTTAATTATAAAATATTTTATAAGTATAGGGAGCCTACCTGGCTTACCCTCTGGAGCCCCGCCTGAATACAATCCTACATATTCAAAGCAAAACGATCTGAATCGATCAAACCTATTGACCAACATGCTGATGTAATTAATTCGATCTAAAACATCTCATTTTTAAATGTTTACGA